ATTCATATCATTGTCTGCAAGATGCACCTTTATTTTGAAATTCCCAGACAATGAGAATATTTACTGATTTTGTCTCATAGAAGTCACGGGCCCCTGACTTGAGTCGAATTGGAATCCTATTGTGGCAGACTTTATGATACCAAGCAAAAAATCCATGTGTTTGGGAAGTGCTGAGCATCTGACTGGATAAATGAGACTTGGATTATACTGCACAGGTTGTGTGAGAGTTTGTAAATGGATATTTAAATGCGGACCCCTTTTACTTCAATTCAACAGGAATTCTCTCTGTTTTTGGATTCTTCGTTCACAATGAAGGCATGCGAGAAAAACAAAGGTTTCGTAACAAATTCAAGGTAAGATGCAGTGAATAATTTACATACAAATGTTCATTCTGTGGGTGACGCATTCCTTTAAGGTGCACAACAGTGGGGTCATCACACTAGGAAGGTCATAAGGTAAACAAAGCGTGGGCGACTGAGCCACCACTCACAGTGTAAGTGGACTTGTGTCTCTGATGACATGCAGCTGCACCATAAACCTGAGAACAAAGAAAAATGGTGGTTATTTGTACAGAAGATTTACTCATTTAAATTAAAAAATAAATAAGTGACGAGCCTACATATCACAGCTACAGCATTCCAGATTTATTCTAAGACAAGACAGTAATAGAGTAACAAGGAGCAGCATGAAAGGCAACTGAAATCAAACTAAATACAGATTTAAAATCCTTCAAAACAAAAGTCGAATGCTGGTTAAAAGCAAACCAGAGCTGTAGCCACTCTGAGCTGAATGCGCTCAAACTTTTTTACTTTTATAAGTGTAAATGTTTTGGTGTATTGTGGTACGTGTTCTTTAGTATATGTACTGTGGTATGTGTATAGTGGCATGTCTATTGTAGTGGATGTACTGTGGCATATGTGTATTGTAGTGTGTGGATTGTGGTTTATCTTACTATATAATGACGATAACTCTGTGTGTCTGTGTGTGTGTCTGTTCCAAGTTTTTCTCCTCACTGACTTGGTCAATCCATGTGAAATTTGGCACAGTGGTAGAGGGTCATGGGAGGATGCCAATGAAGCAATATTACATCAATTGGCCAAAGGGGGGCGCTATAGCAACCGATTGAAATAACAAACTTTGAATGGGCATATCTCATGCCCCGTATGTCGTAGAGACATGAAACTTTGCACAGAGATGCCTCTCCTCACGAGGAACACATCTGCCTCAAGAACTTATAACTTCCAGTTATATAGATTTTCCGCCATTTTGAATTTAAAAAAAAAAACACTTCAAATGGATCTCTTCCTAGGAAGTTTGCGCGATCTGCATGAAACTGGGTGAACATAATCTAGGGACCAATATCTAAAGTTCCCTCTTGGCAAAAGTTGGAAAACTTACTAAAACTGAGCTTCTATAAGGCAATGAATATTGCGGAGGGCGTGGCTCATCACATAAAGGTGTATAACATCTCAAGGGTTTCACCCATCACCACGCAACTTTGTAGGCATATGACCACACATAATCTGAGGGGACCCCTCCATTATTGACCCCATCAAACAAAATGGGGGCGCTAGAGAGCTCATTTCTTATCTAGGCCTAAGCACCATATGGATTTTTACTAAACTTGGTAGATATGTAGAACAGGACGCCTCAAGGTGACTGGAGAAATTTAACTCTAATTGGCAACTGGGTGGCGCTATAACAACAGAAAAATGCTTAAAAATGGCTAAAATGTGACTGATCACTGTGGCGCCCCCTGTGGACCAATGTTGGTGTTTTTTCTTCTAATTTTTTGGTATGACTAAGTCATGGTATGGTATGGACTAGTGTATTTTATTTGGATTTTAATATTGACCATTTTCTAAATTAAATTAGTTTGGTCTGTAAAATGGTATAATATTTCTATCACTATTCCCCAGAGCCTTCATTGACATAACTCTTATTGTACCACAAACAGTCCAAACCCAAAGAAATCCACAGTAAGTCATAAAAAGTCTACAAAAGTCTAAGGAAATCTACAAATATATTTCCATTTCAGATGCTAGATCTGGAGGGTTTTGAACATTTCTCTTCATAAAAAGAGCCATGATCTTATCTCCCCCCTACTGTTATTCTATTTCAGGGACATAAGACATTAAATGCTTTAACCAACAAGTTTAGTCAGGGCAAATTACTTCTTTTACTTAAAACATCTGAATACTTGTTCCACCACAGCTGGTCTATGGAGCACTTGTTGTTTCAGTGTGTGAATAATTTATAACCCTGCAGGGAGCAGTTTAAGGAGGCATCTACAGCCTTGTCTCGTCTGGGAGACAAACAGAAATGCTGAATAAGTATTTTCTCTGCAGGGATTTCCAGTTAACCTCAGGTTGACAGGGTGCTGAACGGACAGCGACGTTAACCAAGCTAGCTCAGTTAGCCAACTAACCAACCAACCAGCCGTTAATCAGCTTAGCTTCACTCACCGCTGTCCCGTCAAACTAACCAGTAACCTTCAAATACTTCTTTAACAGAGTCTGTTTAACAGTTAACTATCAGCTGGTGAGTTCACAGACTCGTCCTACCCTGGTTAACCGGCTGCTGAAGACGAGTTTCAGAGCTCCGGAGATGGATCGCACAGACCGGGCCGTCATGTTCACTCTCCCCGGGGATGGATGGACGACACGGGGCCGGGAGCGAGCTGCGCGCTCACTGTTAATCTCCCTCTGTGTGTCTGTCTCCCTCACTCATTCACTCACAGAGAGTCTCTTATCCGACATGTTTTCAATCGGGGAGGATGAGGAGACAAAGATAGGAGCTCAGTGAAGTCCTTGAAGGTAGCTTGGTGTTGCCATGGTAACTCTAACAGACAGCCTCGAGGGCCCGGTGGCCTACTTAGTTAGTTTGTTCTCACTATTTATTTATTTATTTATTTATTTATTTATTATTTTACCGTGGCACTTTTTTCTGAACCACCAGGAGGCGACACACACACACACACACACACACACACACACACACACACAAACAAAACATTTAACATGAACCAATCCACCCGTTACACCTCTCACTCATTTGTCATGTGGCCTAATAATTAACTGCTAAATCATGTTTGATTTTTATATGAATAATAATAATAATACATAATAAATTTCTCTGATTACTCAGCCATACAGTGTCAAGAATAATCCCTCTGCACTAACCTTATAGCACCAAGCACACATTAACAGTAAATTAAGCTGCTATATTTCATAGTTTAGATACTCACTGTTCTTTCATATGGTAATATAATCACATTAGAATTACTTTACACAGTGTACATACTGTCATACCTGTTGCACACTCATGTTTAAACAGCAACCTGTTACTATCATATATCCCATATTCATTCCAGCACTGTTTGCGCTTTGCAAACTTGCACCATTGTTTGCAAATTTCACTGTGGTGGTGTTGTTTTATTTATACATTCATATATAAATATATAGCCTTTTTTTCCAGTGTAAAATAGCAATGCACAGAAAAAAACAACAGTGAACCAAAAAAAAAAAAAAAAAAAAAAGCAGAGCATTCACAAAAAAGGAGGAAATTTCATATACGTTGACACATTGGTTACATGATATTGGAATATGGTATAGTGATACAGTTATCCTGTTAGATCATTAACAATTCACTTTAATTTTTCAATCAGACTTATATATAACTCATATTTATATCTGTGTACAATGTTTAGTGTGGTCAGTTATTTGGGTTTACTTTGTATAGCTGTATTGTCCTTGTTTTAGGGACTGTTCTCTACTTCTCAGAGGAGGTGGTGGCTGGGGTAAGACTTTTCTTTTTCATACTCCTTGAAGCTACAAATACTGTTCCTTGAGTCTCTATGAATCACTTGGAGAAAACGCAGGACCCTCCCTCCACCATAAATCAGTTGTTTTAATTTTAAAAATGTATCTGATGATCTGATGTTTGGAAGTTAAAAGTTGAGGACAATATCCTACAGTTAAAAAAAAAGGGTCTTGGTTTTTGATACTGTTGTGGTGCATGCTGGTCAGTTAGTGCAAATGGGTTATTTTGGTAAATTTTGAAGTTTTAAATGTGACTTTTTTAAATTTATTTATTTTTAATTGTCCTCAAAGCTACAAATATTTTCCCATGAGCCGCTCTGAATGACTGGGAGAAAATGCAAGACACTCCCTCCACCATAAAAAGTCGTTCGGTCTTTCTTGGGAAATTTTAAAATGAGACGAGTAGAATAAAGTGATTTGATAAATATCAGTATTTTAAGCTTAGATTTTTTTTTGTTTGTTTTTTTTTTTGTTATGTTTTTGTTCGTTGTCCTCGTACATAATGTGTTCAAAACCTGTCGGAAATTTGAAAATAACAATAATTTCTGCTTTTACAGTTTGTTGCTGTGAGAAATGGTATAATTTGTCAATATTTTTTAAAGAAAACAAGTCACTCCCCAGTGCTTAAAAAATAGCTGACATGCCTCCCTCATTCTGCACCACCCCCTACCCCCTGTCAAGTAACGAACAGTCCCTTAGTCAGGTGTATGTTTATTTCTGTGTATGTACATTAAATCCCATCTGTGTGTAACTACACATACTTTGCTATAAAGGCAGATTCAGATTCTAAATTTACTGCTTTTCATCACTAATATTATCACTGTTGAAGTATTGGTGAAGTACTTAAGTAGCACAGCAGCAGTTAGCCAGCATCGCATTATGAATATATGTGTTGATGGTATTTTAAAAAAGAAGATAATATCGGAACCGGACGAGTAACGGCCGAATAACGGCGTCTGTACTTGAATCACTTGTGGGGCACTTGGAGAAATTTTACTCTCCAGCGTTTTTATCCTCGACCAAATCGTGGCCATCCTCATGCCGGTCGTTGTAGTTTTTCTGTGTTCCTCGCTACATTTTCCCCAGTTGGACGTGATACACATACTGGACTACGTTTCCCTGCGTGCCCCGCGGCCCCGCCTCCTCCCTCCACTCCCTCCGCCTTCCCTCCCACTCCACTGGGCCGCGAGGAAGTCGCAAGATGGCTGATGTCGCTTGGAAGTAATGTTCCCCTCTGCAACATGAAGCCGTGAGTGAAGAAGAAAGCGAGGGAGGCACCATCGGGCTTTTATTTTTATTTTCTTTTAGTTACTTTTCTTTTATTTCGTCAAACATCCATCTCATTCCGCGTCGTGTCCGCCCCGGACTTGTCTTCGGGAGTTGACGCGTCAAATCACGCCGGGGACCCTGCCAGCAGCTAACAGCTAGCCACACAGTTAGCAAATGTTAGTACAGCTAGCCAGTCAGCCAGGCACACAGCTTGTTTAATTGATATTCTGACACCTGCGACCCAACAAGCTACCGGTTCAAATGTGCTGAAATCCGCCGGAGGTAGTGCGGAATAAGTGTCAAATATTTTAGCTGTCAGATAAGAAAAATAACGATTTTGCAAGCTGCTCGGTGTAACATCATGTCCGCGAACTGGCCATCCAGCCTGTGGGTTGCTAACTAATGCGCAGTATTGCATCTGTTTCATGTGCACAAACCTGCAGGACAGTTATTTTATCGGCATTTTTCAACAATATCCACCACCTTGCTGCATTTCCGTTATTAGCTGCCAACTACATGTTCGATGCTGGTTGTGTTAAAGCCAAATTATGGGAGCAGGAAATGTGTTGAACTTTTTCTGGTTGTAGGTAGCTACACTGGCCTTGCTGGCATCTCACCAAAAATCCACAGGGATGGACACTAAACTGAGCACCCACGACCAAAACTGAGAAATTGGCATCTCGATATCTCGGAATAAGTAACGATAGTTGACACACGTGTACAGCAGTGCATGGTGACTCATCTCACTAGTCTGGGCGACACACAAGTTGTTTTGCAGGGTTAACTAAACTACAGTTAGTCACTACACCGGAGACCAGTTAGCTTGCCTAAAGTGCACAGCTAGCTTCGGTCTCGCCCCACATCACATTACAAACACGGCGTACAGAACGTATTCAGAGCCCGCTCCCGGCCAGACACACAGGCTCAACAACACCGTCATGGGAGTGCAGGGTTTTCAAGAGTATTTAGAGAAGCGGTGTCCCGGGGCCGCAGTCCCGGTGGACCTCCTGAAGCTTGCCCGTAGCGCGGCCCGCCAGCCCCCTCACCACCATCACCCACACCACCACCCACATCACCCCGGGCCCATGCCTCCCCCGCCCCCGCCTGCCAGGATCCTAATCGACGCTGACTCCGGCCTGCAGCGCCTCTACGGCGGCTACCAGACGGACTGGGTGTGCGGGGGCGAGTGGAACGCCATGCTGGGCTACCTGGCCGCCCTGTCACAGGCCTGCCTGTACCAGGGTGGCCTGGAGCTGGTCGTGGTTTTCAACGGCACACTGGGGAAGGAGCGCTGGCCCGAGTGGGCGCGGCGAGCTCAGGGCCAGCGACAGACGGCGCAGCTGATAGTCAACCACGTCGGCAGCAAGGCCACCCCGCCTCCCCGGGCATGGTTCCTGCCCCCGGCCTGCCTCAGCCACTGCGTCCGACTCGCCATGTTCCGCTTCCGAGTGCGGGTGAGCAATGAGTGATCATGGCCGTGTGAAGTTGTTTTATTGTGGTCATATGGCGTGCTGTTCATTTAACACTTGCCCTTTCTTGTTGCACGCCCATTTAGCAGCTTACATCATACAGCGCCGTTTTAACTCCTTCCAGTTGGGGAACAAGTGCAACTACCAGCTCTAACCACTGAGATGAAGGCAATCTGGAAATATGTTGTTTAGTGTTAATCATCAATACAGAGCTCATCTGTCAAACGCTCTGTTTTGCATAGTCTGTTTTCAGCCATGGATTTCTATGTGATGCCTGTAGCTGGCCTGCTCTGCTCTCATGCATGTATTTGTGTTGCTCTACTGGGAGGAGAAATGCATCCAGTGCATATATGAACCAGCGGCTGCTTGCTAAACCAGTCTGTGCATTAGAGCAGCATGTATTGCACAACATGACCTAGTGTAGCCTATATATTACATAACATGAACTCATTGAACCTTTCATACATTGTTGAACAACTGCTGAGTGGATAGACTATTTATAGGTTCCCACTGCCTGACAGTGGTACATTTGTGCATTTCAGTTGGTTGTTGATTGAGAATATTGAAATATAAATATGTTTTTTGTGTGTACTATATCCACCTCACTCTACTATTATGGGGCAAAGAATAACTTAACATGATGTTTTCGAAAGAGGAAACATGACTCATAATGTTATGTTCTAGGCCTGCCATTAATGCACTAACCTGCTGATTGCATCTCATGGTTCGCTCCTGTCAGCTTCACCTGGCTGCTTCTTTTTTGTGCTTTTGAGCTACCTTCCCATCTGCTTGCATGCTAGTATTAAAAAACACAGTGCTACAGTGTATCATGAGAGGATAGAGAATAGAAAAATCCCACCCACATCACAGCACAACACATTCTGATGCTCCTTGTGTGTGTACAGCATCATTACTCACAGCTCCCATGTGTACTTTCTTGTTTTTTCCTGCCCGTATTCAGAGAAACAGGCCTATTTCTGCAGCTTCAAGTGTCTCACATCTGTTTAAGTTCCATCTTCTACTTAAGTCGTGGCTGTTGTGCGCAGCTGTGGTGCCCTTCTAAGCTTTATATGTGCTGCATGAAAGTTTAGTCTTTGTAATTATTGCGCATAAATTAATTTGATTATTAACATTGGCTATTAGTTCCAGTTTTATGATTGATGAGTGACATGAGAAATATTAGGCAATTTGATCAAGTCATGAAACACTTTCCTCGTAATCAGCCTTGCTATCACTGCCCCATATTACATTCATTTGAAGACAGAGGTTTGATTACCGGCTCATTAAATACATTTTTAATGAAGTAACTGAGTGTAATTATTTAGTTTTCACACTGATTAACACTGACATTGTTTAACAAGATTAACACAACAATTCTGGCATAATCGTGAAGCTCTCCAGCTCACTCTCTGGCAGAACCATGCACCTCACCCACCAATTGGGTTCTGCATGAGTGTGCTCTGAAATGCAATTATGTCGCCCTAGGTCCAAGTATTTGCATCCCCGCCAGTGATTTAGAGCTGATTGGTGCAGCACAAATTTTCCACACATGTATTTTTGCAAGGGCTGTGGAGTTTTAGTGTTTTGTTGATTTACAAAGTGTGGGCACCACTGGCCATCTGTGACCTCCATCCTTGACATAAATTTAATTTATTGCAATGGCTGCTTGCATGGTAGCTGATCAGTTATACAGATGCCTGTGTTCTGGATGCTCTTTCACGGTCTTGGTTAAATTACACAGAAACAGGCAGCTACTCCAGGGCTGCAACTAATGATTTGTTTAATTTTGATCCTCAATTTTCTAGATGAGTTTATTAGTAGTGTACTCCGAAATGTCTGGAATGCAGTGATATTTAATGTAGATCAGAATAAAGCTGCAAATCCTCACATTGGAGAAGCTGGAACTGGGTAAAGTTTAGCATTTTTGCTTAAGAAATGACTTAAAGGATAATCAAATTAGTTGCAGGTTCGTTTTCTGTTGATAAATGAATGAATCAAAAAGACTCAACTCAAAACTACCTTATTTGAAATATGACAACAAAATCTGACGCCACATTCGCACTACTACCCTTGGGGATTTAAAATGAAAAAGATCTCTGTACGCACAAGTGTTGTAGCACTGTTTCAGAAGTAATCTTTGTCCATATTAACATGCCTGAAAACCAAGCGGCAGCCTCAGGGGCTGAGAAATGAAGCCAAAAACTGTGGTTCTTTGAATGGCCACTTTAGGCTGACTCCAGGAGCCAGTCAATCCCCATAGACCCACATGTTAAATGCTCAGCTTTACAGCAGATATAAACATGTTTATAGCCTGGTACAAAAAACGGTTTTGGTCTTTGTTGCAAATTTCAAATCTGGTTACTGTAGAGGGGGTGAATTTTTTACATAACTCACCCGTTTACATTTTATTAAGGCTTAAAGTTACGTCTAATAAAGGATGGGCAGCTTTGAGTGCCCTTGGCTGCTCGGTCAGATCCACCCCTCATTCCTCCACAAGGCCAGCTCTTCCCTCAAATATGGTCACTTCTGGCTTCAAAAAAATAATATGGCAATGGGCAAAATGCTGAACTCAGCTTCAAAACAGGAGTCCAAACACCATTGGGTGACCTCATAGTAGCTACATCCATTGTTTCTACATCTATGCTGAAATCACACATCACATGACCATTCACAAACACTGGGCATGCACGTGCTGATGTAAACAGGAAGCAGATTGTCTGCTCAGAGGTTGGTTGCTTAGTTACAGAACATACTACAGAGATGGTGAAAAGTAAGACCAGAGATTTCTTGGCTTAGACCAATGACAAGGCGGAACTGTTACTGAAAGTTTCACATGAGTATAAGGTGGTCAACACAGCAGAAAACGGATTGGGAGTTGTTGCAAAGCAAAGTCGGCGACATATCGGAGAGGCATCAAGAGAATTATCCATTGCCTGAGGAAGCCATGTACCCAGCCATGAAGGATAAAATCACAAAAGCTGTGTAGACCTAGCTATATATTTTAACTCAACATGTATGATTGATAAGACCCAATCAGGAGGTGAACGTAGGTGTCCAAAAATATCTCTGTTTTCTCCCCTCCAGACAACAATACAGCCCCAGAGTTGTCGAACTAAAACAGGGTCAGCAGAGTTTTCAAAGGTCTCTGTTTTAAGACTTTCAAATTGCCACAGTAGTGTGGACCTTAGGTGGAAATCTAGTAATAGTTGCATTTTAAAACGAAAAACCTATTAGTGTGGATGTAAATCCGACACATGGCCAACCAGGTTACTCGTAGTGAGATGTCAACAGTTTAAACTCCGTTCAGAATTTGTGTTTGTATGAAACAGCAGACTGAGTTTATCCACTCTGCATCTACAGGTTGTACAGACTTTGGAGGACCACCACCAGGAAGTGCTGTCTCTCTACAGGGACTTTGGATTTGCCGGCCTGATTGCTCAGGATTCTGAGTTCGCCCTCTGCAACGTACCCGCCTACTTCTCGTCGCATGCACTCAAACTGAGCTGGAATGGCAAGAACCTGACCACACACCAGTACCTGCTGTCTGAGGCTGCCAGGCAGCTCGGGCTGAAGACACAGCACCTGCCCTGCTTCGCTGCTCTGCTGGGTAAGGAGCGGCTCACTCGCGCATACCTCAGCGTACTACACACAAATACACAATCACGTAGCCCACATTTCTCTCGCCGGAACACACACCCCTGCTTGTGTGTTGTATTTTTGGCTCCCCTCGTTGTCTGTCGTCCTCGTTCATTGACGCAGCAAACATTTGAAAGAGTTTCTGTCTCGCAGGAAATCATATTCTGCCTGATGAGGACCTGGCTGCCTTCCACTGGAGTCTGCTGGGACCAGAACACCCACTAGCTTCTCTCAAGGTACCGTATTATTTCTTAGTCCTCTGCAAACCACAGCTCACTCGTTAAGAGAATAATAGCTCCATTAATCACGTAATAGTACTGTAATTAGTAAAACAGTGATGTGCGCCCTGATTTACCTCAAATGCCTAACTTGAGGCTTGCTTTTATTTCTAATTTTAGATGTTATCAGTTTTAGAGAAAAGTATTTCAGTTTTCTGATCTTCTCTCATTTACTCTGAGGTCACATCTACACTGATACACTCTTTTAAAACAGTGTTTTAAGAAGGAAACGATCTCCAGTCACACAAGCATTCTAGCACTGTTTTAGAAATAATCATTGTCCATACTAACGCCTGAAAACATATATCACATGACCGTTCATGTACACTGGGCATGTGCATGCTGGTGTAAACAGGAAGCAGATTCTACTCTGCTGTTTGTTGCTTTGTCACGGAAAATACTGCGGAGATGGTGAAAAGTAAGACCAAAGATTTCTTTGCTTGAACCAACCAAGAGATGGAACTTTTAATGAAAATAACACACAGGTATAAGACTGTCCAGGTGACAGAAAACAGATTGGAAGTCGTTGCAAACTATGGTGATGGGAAATGAGTACCCACACAAGGAGGATAAAATCACAAAAGCTACTATAATGTTTTGGCTTGACACGTCGTGACTTATAGGACCCAATCGGGAAATGAACATGGGTGTCTGCATCATCGTTTTTCAAAAGTCTGCGTTTTCATCCAGACAGAAATGCAACCCCAGAGTTTTCAAACTCGAACAGGGTCAGCAGCCTATTCAAAGGTCTCCATTTCAACGTTCCAAAGCTCCTCCGAGTGTGGACTCCAGCCGTAAACATGGCAATAGTTATGCATTTTTAAACAAATACGTATCGGTGCAGATGTAGCTAAATGCTGCTCTCTTATAATAAAACCCTTTCACTGGTTCAGGGTCATCATGCTTTCCCATCAATAGAAGGATTTTATTGTGAAGCATTTGCTGCAGTTTTATTTCAATAACATCAGAAAAAAACATAGAATTGATAGAAATGACGAGAATGAGTGGATCAGTGAAAGGAAGAAAAGATTTTTAATGAAGGGGAGAAATAATATCCAGACAGTCACACTCCAGACGAAAGACGTAGTTGAAATGTTTGTCATGAAAACATCTTATCTCTTTTCCAAAAACTGTCTGTAAGCATGAAGGTATGTCAACTGTATGAACTTTGCACTCATTTCTAATGTTACTTAAACTACTTCAAATGTGGTGCAGACAGATTTTCATGGTCACTGTGTACAAAAACTGACAAAGGCTGGCTTTTTTTTCTCGTGGTCATTGTGTAAGTGTGATAACAGACTTGGAGGTGGTGTTATGTGAAAACAATGGACTGTGCAGAGAGAATACCACTTCACTGCTTGGCTTTGCATTCGTCACTAGTTCACCTGTCAGTTTCATATATCTGGACACCTTGTTGTGTGGTACTGCTCACCAGTCTGAAACCCTGTTTGCAAGGAACTAGTATTACCAGGAGACCTCATGTGATTTAAAACTTACACCCCCGTATCTGTGTGTTTTGTGCGGCTCATTTGCACAAGATAAGCAGTCTTTATTTTCCTCGAGTTTACTGACATTATCCTCTGGATATGATGCACACAGTCATTTGTTACCCGACTCTACACGACACGAACACACTGCACACCACCACTGGCGATGATGTACGGTGTAAACCTCATTTTTCTTTCATTTACAAAAATGTTGGTAAACAAGCAGAACTGCTGCACATTTTCACACGTCATCCATCTTGTCACGATTTTGCTCTCCTGATGGATTTGAAAACGGGTCTCTATGCTCCGTAGCAAGATGAACATCCTGCACCCAAAATGCTGTCAAAACTTTCAGTTGTAATTGCCAACACAGCCTCCATAGTTCTTGACTGTGAAAGAGTCAGAAAAGAGGCATGGAGAAAACAAAACATAAATATACCGAGATCACAGAGACATGAATTTGCACAGGACTTTTGTTTGGTGAAATATGGTAGGTATTTTGTGGTGGAATTGTTACGTGACAAATAATGGAGATGGCAGATTGACATGGAATTAAGATCATAGACGACCTCCGCAGTTAGTACAAATTACTGAGCCAAATTACATTGTGGCTGATGATCTTCATGAATATGAGTATTTTAATTTTGAGTTTTGTTCCATTGATGCACAGATTATGACTAAAGGCCTCTTAACTCTTAACTGATGAAGTAAATGTTTAACTCTATGAGCCAGACAAGAGCAAAATCAGATGTAGCTTATTTAGAGTGACAGCCTGAAGTGAAGAAATCTTCTGAATGTTCCTCTCCAATTTTTATTTATGTGGCTGGGAGACATGGTTAACCAAATCTAACTCACTGTTGAGAACTGAACAATATTTTAACAGAGTTTGCAGGTCCTTGAATAATCAAATGGCTGCATTTTTCTAAACATTGAAAAACTTGTTAGATCTCTCGCTGCGTCCAGGAGCCATCTGACTCCCTCTTCCTTTCCTCGCTGTACTTGTACAGCTGAAATTGCATTGACTAACTACTATTAGACTAGCGGCAGAATGTCACCAGCAGAAACACTGGGTGTTGTTGCCAGTTCAGTGCAGAGGATTGTAATGTTAATTACAGCCTCAGTAATATCTCCTGCCTTGTGCTTGACACAGCTCTGCTCTCTCACCAGAGCCAGTCTCTCGGCTTGTCGGTGGCACAGCAGCCTACAATTTAAATAACAATAACCCCAAAAAAGGATGTGACCAAATCGTGTGCTGGTGTGATCAGCTGAGATAAAAGTTAGTGTGGAGCCCTGTGATGTTACAAATCTTTGAAGCTACCACTGGACCCAATACTGTCTTTTTAGGCTGCTTTCACACCTGCCCTGTTTGTTTCAGTTAAATCAAACACAAGTTTGTTTGCCCCCTCAGTGCGGTTAGTTTGGGCAGCTGTGAACACAGCAATCACACTCAGGTGCGCACCGAAACAAAACAGAGACCACTTCTTCAAGAGGGTCTCAGTTCGGTTACAAATGATTTGGGTGAGAAGGTGTTCCAACCTGGATGTGAAGCAACTGCAGTCACATGACACATTGTTTGGATTAAACATGAGCATGTTACAGTCCTGGAGGATTATTAATGTGCACCTCCTCCTGTACTGCCTTAATATGCACATTCAGCACATCCAATGCATCAAAACATTGTTTTCTAGTTGGAGCCGCGCCTCGTTTTCAAACTGTATGGTTTGACTAAAATGAACAATGACAGCAATATAGTCCACGATGAGCAGCGCTAAAATCAACCTGCGTAGTTGTCCCTCCATTGTGACATTAGAAAGTGTCACATTTATCTTGCAAGTGTACTCTTCTTCAACGTTTGCTTTACTTACTGGATTTTTCCCACATGGAAATTCTGACCAATCAAGAGCAGCTTTCTCACACAAGGCATTTTGGTCCTCTTGTAAATGCTGCCGTGAGAACACGAACCCACTCTAGGCAATTATACAACTTTGAGACCAAATTAGTCCCTGATTCAGACCAAAGGAGACGACTCTAGGCCTGACAGCATCCTTACTTCATACTTGAACTTAGCTGTTGGCAAAATGTAAAAGAACCTACCTCACTCTAATAACCATATTCCTACATAAAACATGCGTCGGCATGGTACCACATATATACTACTTAACTTTATACCTACCTGCAGTGCCTGAGTTAGAAAAAATCAGTCTCAAATTTGTTTAAAATGTTATTTGTGTCTAATATCTGTAGACACCCTGTCTCAACATTTTATTTTGTTTCGTTTAAAGGTCTTATTTTAATTCTGACATTAACCATTTGTTTATCAGTCAAAAAATAGCTCTCAGCCATCCATATTGTTATCATCTTTACTGATGGAACAAAGCCAGAATCTATAAAAGACCATCAGTCTGTAACTTGAGTGACTATCAGCATTAGGACCTGTCAGTACATTGGTTCAGTCCTAATGCCTTTTCAAATCTACATAACTTCCTGTCCTGCCCTTTTAACTGTGGCTGAACTGATAAGCTGTGTAGTATCACAGCAGAACAATAAGTTCTAATACGTGTTTGTTTACTTCCGTTAAACACGTAAAACACAGTTAAATGTCTTCATGCTGCTCTCTCACAGTGTCACTCCCCACCCACCCAGGTATATGTGGATTAAAACTTTGTCCTGGTTCTGTCTCAGGTGCGAGCCCACCAGTTGGTGCTGCCGCCCTGTGAGGTGGTGATCAAGGCCGTCTCGGAGTACGTCTCTTCCATCAAAGACCTGGGAAACCTGGACGCCATCGCCAGAGATGTCTTCAAACAGTCACAGGTGGGTCGTGTGTCTCTTGTTGATGATTATCAATGATAATTTTGTCAGTTACTTTATTGGGTTTTTATTGAATCGATTGAAGTAGATTTACATATTCCATGTCTGACAGCACATACCAGGCCGTTGCTGATAGTTAAATAGGTCATCACTGTTGACACAAGACCCTGAGTCAGCGTCTGCACTTCCTCACACATCAGTGTTAAACCAGGATTACCTAGTTTCAGTTCATCAGAAGAAGCTGCTGCAACATTTACAGTGTTAATTACACATGAAAGACAAATCAGAAAATTAAGTGTTAAAATTAAGTGTAAGTTTGATCTCCAAATATGTTAAGTATGTTTGTGACTGGGCAGGACGGGTTGGAGTTCTGTAACGTTTTATCAAACACATATCACTGTCGAATCATTATTTATGGAGTGGGGCGGGGATCTCAACACCTCATGATTTGATTATGATTCAGAGGGCGACTTGACTAATAAGCCACAAGAGGTCGTGGTTTAAAGTAATGTTAGAGCATCTAAAGCCCAGTTCAGAACAGAGATTTGTGACGAGACGAGTGGAAACAGGCAGCTACTTGCAACAGGCTGTTTGGCAATGTTCTAAAAACCTGCCGGTTCACACCAATGCAACTAGATAAGATGGTTTATTGTCTCTATGCAACAACTCTCTGTATTTCTGTTCTGATTTGCAGCTTTTCAGACTTATTTTGTGGCTGAATATAATTTGTAGCTTCTTAAAATATGAATGAGAATAGTGATAATGAGATACTGGCTACAGCTGCATTGTAGTGGTGATGAAATGGGGAAAGAACATTAACAAAAAGGGCATCAGATGGACTGTACTTATTATAAATATGCCACAATAGTATTAGTAAGCAGCACTAATTAATCAGTCAACGAGAGTGTGTGTGTGTAGAAGGGCCATAAGCACATACAGCAAGCAGCAGCAGCAGCAGTGACCCACTGTCTGACACTGGCACACCGTCAGGACAGAAACAGAGGGCTCAGCAGGGACAGAGCACCTGCTGCAGCAAGTGAACACACCGTGTGCGGTCATTCTGACTTGACCAGTGGACTTCACTACAAGCGTATATGACTTAAACTAAATGTGCCACTGGAAGTTACTAGGGAAAAATCATTAATTTCTTATAAAAAATATAAAAATGAAATAGTACTAGAATCCCATATGAAGAGGTGTGTCCTGAGTGCCCAGTGTAGTGATATATTGTAGTATTAAATTTGAGTCAGTGGGACACATTACATTGAAAGTGCTGCCTTAATTTTCTATTAAAATATTTGTGTAAAATGAATTAACTACACATTAATTATTGAAGTAAGTGTACTACATGAGAACAATTAAGTATAATTTGAATAATAATTTTCACTAATAATGTCAAGTCAGCATCAAAGTATTGTAATATTGTAAATTGTGTTAATTAAACAGTAACTGATTGATGATCTCTCAGTCAGCTCCCAGCAGCTAAACAGAGGACAGGGAGATGAGCTCACCGTACTTTTACTGCCAACATCAGGTCAAACTGAATAAGAAGACGCCACTGGGTCCAAGTTTCAGTTCATCAGAAGAAGCTGCTGCAACATTTACAGTGTAAATTACACATGAAAGACAAATCAGAAAATTTAGTGTTAAAATTAAGTGTAAGTTTGATCTCCAGATATGTTAAGTATATTTGTGACTGGGCAGGACGGGTTGGAGTTCTGTAACGTTTTATCAAACACACATCATTGTCGAATCATTATTTATGGAGTGGGGCGGGGATCTCGACACCTCATGATTTGATTATGATTCAGAGGGCGACTTGACTAATAAGCCACAAGAGGTCATGGTTTAAAGTAATTTTAGAGCATCTAAAGCCCAGTTCAGAACAGAGATTTGTGACGAGACGAGTGGAAACAGGCAGCTACTTGCAACAGGCTGTTTGGCAATGTTCTAAAAACCTGCCGGTCTAATATCCAATGTAGTTCTATGGTCACGGCAGTGTTAACACGGTGCTGCTGTTGAGCTATGCTGTTCTGTCTCATCTGTCCATGGCTGTCGGTGTCCTCTTTTCAGTCAGCGATGTTATCTGTTATAAATGTGTTGTTAACTGTGCGAGGTGTGCGTAGAGTGTGGCATGACAGCGTGTGACGTATCTCAATTCCATGAGTCTTGCAGTTAATGCATGAGTTAGCAGCTATACCAGGTTACATGCACCGGTGCATGTAGAGAATCACCTGCATAGCTCACGTAATGTGTTCTGCTGTGGATATGCACGTGGTAACTTAAATTCCATCATCAGTTGGAGACACTAGTCTGGTGATACTCCTCCACTTTGACTGATACTCAACCACTAACAAGAATTATCAAGGCGGTTGTAGCTCAGATGTAGAACAGGTTGTCCACTGATCGGCAGATTGGCGTATTGGCAGGTTGACGTATCCTTGGGCAAGATCCTGAACCCCAAATTGCTCCTGATGGCTGTTCCATTGGTGTGTGAATGTGTGTGAATAGTTACTGAGTAGCAGGTGGAACCTTGTATGGTAGCCTCGGCCACCGGTCAGTGAATGTGATATGTCATATAAAAGTTAATTGAGTGGTCAGAAGACTAAAAAAGCACCATGCAAGTGCAGTCCATTTACCATTTAGTGATGTGCACAACAGCTCTGATGTCATTGCATCTGCTGATATGCATAAATCCATCTGAATTAATTATTTTCTCAACTTCAAAAAAGCCCACACCCCTGTGGACATTTCACTTGCTGTAGGTTTTGTTGCTTTTTAAATGTGTTGTATTGATGTAGGAGTGAGTCAGTCCCACATACACTGTCCTGCTGCCCCAAATACTAGAGCACCACCCGCAGAGCACCAAATGTGGATTAATCTGCCGCTGCAAATACATTATACAGCGTTTACTCCTGTTTGAGTAACATTTTCTAAAATTAAAAAGGAAACTACTCCATAGGGATGAATAGATTGGTGACTGAGAGACAGAGTAACACGTTAAAAAAGAGAATTGGCATCCTTATCCTTTCAGAAATCTAAAATGAAGCCAGTTATTAAATCCCATCATTACTCATCCTGTACTTATTAATGCCACCTGTGTTCAGACTCGTGTTTACGCCAGGTCACTTTGGGAAACACATGTTTGACCAGTGAACATCAATGATTTGCTCCATGACCAGTTTCTTCCAGGTCCCTGCTTTGGAATAACTCAGCAGCAGATTTTCACCGTCATCATCCCAGCATGTCGACATAATGTTTGATTTCTTCCCCTCCAGTCTCGTATGGAGGACAAGGTGGAGCGATTCAAGAAAGCTGTGGAGTATTTCTCAGCTGCCTCCAAACCTCGATCGCCCAACATGGGGCCCTCCTCTTTCATCTGTGAGTAGTAGTGAAATTTAGACAACAGAAGCAATCATTTTGCCTGACTAAATATATGTGAGAAGAAAATGTCCATTAACATGCTTTTTTATCTGCTCAGTACCTGGGTTTGGTTTTGGGGGACCACCTGGCCACATGGGACCTATGCAGCCTGGAAAGAATCAGGTAGATTCCTTAGCTTGGTAATCCTTTGTCCTCTTTGATGTGTGTGTAATTTGTTCTCTGCTCTCTACGTGAATCTACACGTAGCGGAGTGGATTAAGCTTTTTGCTCTTTGAAATCCCTTTGTGGCATGTGCTCATTTAGGGGGGAAAAGCTGGCTGAGAGGAGGAGGAGGAGGAGGAGGGCGCAGTCCTTCCCACCGTAAATCCTCTCACCAGCCTTGATTAGATGCTTCTGGTGTGATCTGACATAAAATAGGACAGTATTAGTTCATGTCCCTGAAAGGACATCTCCTCCTTCCTCCCCTCTGCTCCTTCTTTTCTTCCCCTTTTCAATCCATTTTCTTCTGCTCCTCACCTCTCTGTCCAATCGCAGTTCCCTCCTCCCCAGGTTCCGGGGTTAAAGCCACCCTATCAAAATGCTCCATATGGACCTGGCTCCACCCCTCTGTTCCAGAACCCACCGCCACCGTCCCAAGACTGCAACGATGCGTTGACGGGCAAGATGGGCTTCTCTGATTGGTCGGCTCCATATGATTCCACTCAGGGGGGAAACCGATTACCCAATCATCACACCGCCACTCAGTCTGGTCCCTCTCCGTCTCCCTCATCGTCATCAGATGGAGATGAACCCAACGACAGCAACGCAAAGTAAGACACAGAGAAGTCAGGTTTAGGGCTGCATTTACACCAAATCATTTATTTCAGTGATTAGCCACTGAGTGCTGTGACCGTGTGGGAATGTCACTTGTCGTCATTGTGTTCCCTGTGCTGCTAGTATGGCGGGTCCTACGAGTAACTGACCGTCAGCAACAACAGACCAAAAAGAAACACATTTACTTAGTTACACAGTGACTATCCAGGATGTAAGGGCTGTCAAATGGTGTGTTTTAAACGTTCTGTATGTGACTTCTGGAGCATTAAAATAGCAGCTAACCACTCTTTGCTAGGTAAAGGTATGGTGGAGTGATGGCGTCCTGAGCAGAGAACAAAGTCACGCTACCTCTGTGTGTCTCTAGTCTGAGTGTCTCTCTGGTTTGTTGTGTTAAGCCGGTCCGGCCATGCGTTTATGTGTTTATCCTAACTAGCTTATCAGTGCTGCTTTGTACTGCGCTCGCACAGAAGTTACCGTTGATATTGGGGCGCCGCTGTTGCAGGAGTGAAGCGCCCATCCTCTGGTTACTCCTTGGTTAACTCCATTAACTCTGTCTGTTTAGTGCTGTTTATGGAGTGAGCAGTGATAGCCTGTGGTGCAGCCACCTCCATGTTGAGAAGCTTGTGCAGAAAACTTTAACGCTCTGAATTTTGTCATTTAGTCACTTGCATGTTTATGATATTAATGTAATTATTAATTGATATTTTGGTGGTTTGAGTTGAAGGTGTGAGAAAGAATAGTATCAGTAACATTGTTAACACTGTGCTACATTACAGAGAAATACAAAACCGTACTAATGAACCTTCATTAATATAGGCCTATATTTTATCTACAAGTGCATGTCACACACTGAGCGAGCCGCCTGTTAATGACGCTGTGGGCTAATGGGCATGTAGCTACTTCCATGTTTCAGATGATACGTCATGTTTGTAGTCGACCAATGAAGATGAGTTTACATATCACCTTGGGTTCATCCTTCACCTTCTCAAAATGATCCCACACTTTGGATTTCCTGCCCGACATGTTATTAACTAGCCTGTGGAATAACCGCAGGTACCAGCCCTGGAAATTAGGGGTCGTACACATGCTGCATTTTTAACCGACTGGAAATGCGAGGTCGGGCGCTGGGCGCTACTCTACTGCCTTTTTTGTGCCAGCTTTCAAGGGCTTGAGGGCAGGTTGCATCTGGGGTTTAACAAGCATCGTATAGCCTACTTACCTGAAGTCCTGAGTGCAGAGCTGATCTTCTTCCAGGCGCTGTTTATAAGTGTGTAGGCCTATTGTCTGTGGGACAGATGTAAAGCTCTGGGTAGCCGTGCACTAACATGATCATCTTTTCTGTGTTAATCAGACTGAATATTTACAGAAGAAGGGAAAGATATCTGTCAGCTGTGATTGGTTTGTAACGTGACTCCTGTCTGACTGCTGAGCGTGGACAATTCCTGTGTCTGTCCTTTCAAAATTAAATTCCCACATGGTCCAGTCATATAGGTTTTGATTTATTTTGACAAGGCGCAGCTCCTGATAGAGTTTCACGTTGTTGTTTTTTTCTGTGACTAAGGGACCAATGAAATCTTGCCGACATATGACCTTTCTGATCGACTGATATTAGGTCGACTTTTAGAGAGCAGCCCTTCCTCTCCACATTCAGATGAATGTGATGACTCACGTTTTTGCTGCGACGCCTGATTTGGTTTGAATTCGGCTTCACACTATCATGGCTTTTGCTCCCTTATTATATTTAGGTGAAAAGGGGAATTTGGGGATTTTAATTGCAGCAAAGCCCTTTACATAACACATGTTTTGACTAAACACAAGGAAAGATTAGCTTTCACGACAGCTTACATTTCACAACACTAATGACCGTAAGGAAATAAAGAATGTGCTGATTAAAAGGTAAATGACTTTTAAAAAGCACTCACAGGTTTGTGGTGATTGACTGTTTACTCGTCCTATTTTTGAAAGTCCAATAAACAGTGACTTTTTATGTGTTTTGTCCATAACTCAAATATATTCATGTTATAGAGGAGTAAAGAAACATTCACATTTCAAAAGCTGCAATCAGAGAATATAGACCTTGTTTTTTCCTTAAAAATCCACCAAAACAATTCTAAAATTAATTGGAAATTAATTTCATAGTTGACAACTACTCAAGTCATGGATTAAATGTTGCAGCTCCACATTTGATATGAACTTCCCACACTGTAACATTATATGACAGATAATAGGGAAAAGCATAATGGATCCACTTGAATTGGGTTCATAACAAGTTAATCAGGTTATCCCTAAAGCCACTTAGATATCACATGAGCCCTTCCTACAATGCAGTGCATCCATAGCAGCTCTATATCACACAGACTTGTTGACTGGCTGACTTTTTGTCAACAAGCTTACAGTGTAAAATGGCCTAGGTGCAGCTTAGACAGGCAGGGATTACAGATACTGAGGAGGAGGAGGAAGATGGAGAATCAGAGACATGAGATTTTTGTCCCTTCACATGTTTTGCTGACCTATAGTACTCTAGAAAATAAAGTTTAAAAATCTGACTAGGGACGCCTTGGACTTCTGGAGTGTGTTAAGTTTCTGCTATCGTCCTTTTTTCCAGTGATCATCGAACACACATGTTTCATCGGTTCAGTGTGTTTGAGGAAATGCTTCCTCTGCAGAAACTGATGTTGTATAAACACACACATGATGAATGACTAAACACTCTCATGAACCCTTTTCTCGCAGCCATTTGACGGACAAGCCCTCTCGGTGGGAGGATCCTGCTGGAAGGGGGGGCTCGGCCTCTGGAGACGGTTCCCAGGGCAACGGGAGCGGGTCAAACATTCCGTCACTGTTGTCTATGGCGACGCGGAGTCACATGGACATAACCACACCCCCTCTGCCTCAGGTGTGTGTCCATGAGAGATTTTAAAAACATATTTCAAGACCAGATAACACAGTGTTAAGTTGTGTTGAAAAGTTTTGTCACCATGTTTCCTGTTTTTGTTTTTTGCAGGTCAGTGCTGAGGTTCTTCGTGTAGCTGAGCACAGACACCGAAGAGGACTGATGTACCCCCAGATTTACCACATATTGACCAAGGTAAACAGTTTTCCTTATGTAGGCGTCTTGTGTTCGTATTTGTCTACTCAAGCATGTATTCTTCCTCTGAAAGGCCCCTAAGTCATCTGATCGAGTTAAACAGCGGTTATAAAAATGACAGTGGAGGTAATGTTTCAACCACGTCAGAGCCTCCCTGTAATCTCTTTGTCCTTACTCCTCCCTCCACCCACCGCACCCTGTAGGGAGAGATGAAGATGCCAGTGTGTATAGAGGATGAGTGTAACTCTGAGCTGCCTCCTGCCTCTCTGCTGTTCCGTGCTGCCAGACAGTATGCCTACGGCGTCCTCTTCAGTCTGGCTGAAACTCACCGCCGCCTGGAGAGGCTCGCTCTTCGCAAGAGGGCTCCCCTGGAAGGTAGGTCCTGGGACAGTGGAGTAGGTAGATGAGAGGTGTGCGGGGGACAGAAGTGTATGTGGACTGTACGTATACTCACATTTAATCTTAGATTTGATTCTAGGAACCCAGCCAGAGATTAAAGATATCTACAGATCTGCAGAACAGAGATAACACTCACTATACAGATTCTTTTTCCCGTTCGGGGGTGGATTAGAATGATGGAACCTTGAATCAGGTTGGTTGTTTCCTACCGCCTACCTGAACTCTGAAACAATGTCTTCAGGGCAGCCAGTTTCAGTTGTGTTTCTGTTACTGTGGCTCAGGAGGTAGAGCGGGTCCTCCACGTATTAATTGGGCTGCTTTCCTTGTCCCAGTACACAAACACAGGAGGGGAATTTACTGATGGAAGTATGTCCGACTCTGTTACAATAGGTGGAGATATGCCCCCTTTCAGGTTGTTAGAATTGGATATTTTTCTGGTTGACCTGTTACGTCACAGACCAAACAATACACAAACCAGTTAGCTAGCGGCAAACTGGTACCATGGTGGACAACTTTACAGCTTTGAACATTTCAAATGCACGGCTGTGGATGTAGATTTCATCATGTTGTTACCGGCTTCCTCCTCTGTTAGGCATTCATTGCTTTCAACTTCCAGGTCAAATCCCGGGCGGATACTATGGAGCATGTGCTGAGGGCCTGAGGGTCTGATTGACTGCATACTTGCAGGAGTATTTGGGTCCTAGTCGTATTATCTGGGTTCGATTTTCTCTAATGTAGTGTAAACGTACTGAGTGGCGTTGGTCGGGTACCATGGAGGGAAAATTGTGTAGTTACTGCAAAGACTGTGTAAGTTTGTGTTGGCATATTGCTGGAGTTGATCACCATCTGCATCTCTATCTACACTTTTCCAGGATTTGAGTCATTTGTCTCTGCGACTGGGGTTGATCAGGTTAGACCAGTGCAGGGTTTCCAGGGTCATGGAAAACCTGGAAAAGTCATGGAATTTTACAATCACATTTTCCAAAATGATTTTATTTGTGTAATGAAATTTTCCGTGAATAATATCCATGTGGTGGTTCGGGCATCTGATTAGGATCCTCCTGGGCGCCTCCCACTGGAGGTGTTTCAGGCACGTCCCACTGGTAGGAGGCACCGGCGCAGACCCAGAACACGCTGGGGGGATTACATATCTCATCTGGCCTGGGAATGCCTCGGGGTCCTCCAGGAGGAGCTGGAAAGCGTTGCTGGGGAGAGGGACGTCTGGGGAGCTTTGCTCGGCCTGCTGCCCCCGCGACCCCGCCCAGGATAGGTGGATGAAAATGGATAGATGGATGAAATATTCATGTAATGTAGCTGTGTGTGATGTTTTGTTTACCAATAACTATGTTTCTGTATTGTCTCCCAGTGTGCCATCTCTTCCTACACAAATGGCAGCTAGCAGAAATTATGTTGGAATAGAGTTTGTATCTGAAATGTTTGAAAAACGACAGGGAAGTGGGGCACGAAAAAAATTATGAGTCCTTGAAAAGTCAGGGAGAGTTTTTCAACTTTGTCCACCTGCTGGTGGTGCCCATTGTTACAATTTCTGATTTTGATGTCATCGCTCAAAAACTTTATTCACATCGATTTTTTTTAAATTGTTTGTACAAGCAGCGTTAGCGTCACAGTGCTGATTGAAACACTGGATGTCAAGTGTTAAATCTGCCCCCTGTGCAGGAGTGATCGTTAACAACATATGGCTGATGGGAAGCGTTTTATTCAACGTAATTCACCATCTACAGCTGTGTGCAAATGTGGCTCTAAAGTCCTTCTCATGTCAGCAGATGCATTCCTAAGACAAACAAAATCCTTGGACAAACACTGACCTTGTATGGTAGCCTCAGTCAAAAGTGTATGAATGTGTGTGTGAATGGGTGAATGTGACATGTAATGTAAAAGTGCTTAGAGTGTTCAGAAGACTAGAGAGGCCCTCTACAAATATAGCTCATTTACCGTGAATGTTGTGGTGTTATTTCCGTGTAAAACAAAAGAGGTTAGATTGTTTTGGTTTTCTTCATAGTTGTTTATCTTTCAAAGACCGCACATTATGCGCTTCAGCTGTAGTGTGCAAAGTGGCGTCAAAATGCCCTTCCACAATCCCAGCATACTGGCATGGCTTACTGATATATCTAAATGTAACGGAGCCAGTCTTATTGGTATTAGTTACACTGAAAATGTCCACTGTCAGAAAGGTGGGACTTAAACTACTACTTACATTTCAGGACCTTGTCTCATAATTAAACGTTTCAGAGCTGATCATACCAGACTGCATCAGTTCTTCTAAACCAAACCTTGTACATTTTAACACTAATTCTCTTGCTTCTGTGTTGCAGTTCCTCCAGTGATTGTCAAAGAGTGGAGCAGCGGTAAAGCCAAGTCGGCCCTGACTCCGGAGCTGGTCCCGGCCCTGTGTTTCAGGGAGTGGACCTGCCCCAACCTGCGGCGGCTGTGGTTGGGTCGCGCCAGTGAGGACCGCTCCAGGAGAACCAGGGCCTTCCTGGCCTGCCTACGCTCTGACTGCCCAGCCCTCCTCAACCCAGCACAGGTCCCACAGCATCTGCTGCTCATGTGCTGTGTGCTCAGGTATGACTTTATACCACTGCTAAAATGACTGAACGTTCCCAAGGCTCCAGTTTTCTTGTTCTTTGCCTGAATGCTGAACACATTTTGACTCGTCATAGTAGTGTAGGTGCAGGTGTCACTAATAACATTACCGATGGCTCAGTTTTATTCAAGTGCCCCAGTAAGCTGTGACAGTGAGCCAACATGCATAAGACCAGGACCCTCAAAGAGAAGACACTAAATTGAATTAATACATCGTCAGTTGTGTTGTTTACACCTGCGCATTTCCTGCTGCAGCGTGTCGAAATGTCTGTGAGAGGGCCTGTCAGTGGATTGACAGTAAGTCACAACATGAGATGTGATATTGGTACAAAGTAAACAGTACTGCAGCTTTCTTGCAGCACATTGTGCATCACTGTAGAAATGATAATCTAAACTGTCCGGCTGTGTCCACATCACTCATGATTAGTGATGTAGACATGTTTGCTGATCATAACAGCATTATCTCTATATGTGAGAATATGGACGATATTGAAATCACATCCTTTGGCACAGTTTTCATTCCTATAAATGAGATCCTTGTAATGTTTTTACTGCGTGCTCAGTTCTAATCCTGTCTGTAAATGAGACACGTCAGTACACTGTAGCTGAGCTCTAAAGTTAGCTTTGTTGTTTCCTTCTCTCTCAGGTATATGATGCAGTGGCCTGGAGGAAGGATTCTCCAGAGACATGAGCTAGATGCCTTCCTGGCTCAGGCTGTTTCCAGCCAGCTCTACGAACCCGACCAGCTGCAGGAGCTCAAGGTGAAACCCCACTCCTCACTCCCTCACCTTTGGATAATCACTGATCAGGGTTTTCCACAGGATACAGATGTAACTGCTCACATTTCTCATTGTCCGTCATTTTTGGCCTGACATTGCCAGACCAGTTCACAGATATGAGTTAGTCTGAAACCTCTCAGTTAATTTTTGATTTCCAACAGGCATTATCAACAGCGGCAGATAAAAATGCCCCTGGACACAACTGGATAGACATGCAGCCAATGAGAGCAACAAAATGTGATGTAGTGCTGAGAAGCTGACAAATGTAACCAGACTACAGCGTGCAGAGATGAGCTGTGATGCTGTAGCATCAATGTCTGTGAATGAGTGCTGCTATTTTTGCCATTGGAATTTAAAAATAGTACTAAAAGAGAAAGATCCACATCAGCTGCAGCCATCTTGGTTGCAGGGTTCCCACAGTCAGTTTCACATTTGCTTTTTCCTGGACTGGAAAAGTCATGGAATTTTGTTGCCTGTAATAAAATTGTTTCAGTAATCTTCAGTGAATAATCTTTCATGAAATGTAACATAACAGCAAATTTATTTCCTGAAGATGTCAGCATAACAAGCTGTAATATGTGTTGGTGCGTTAAGTTTTGTTTACCATCACAAACATTTCTTAATTTTCTCCATGCGTCCCGTCTTTCCTCCATGTATGCCAGCAAGCTGAATGTTTTGAATAGAGTTTGAATCTCATGTTTGAAAAAACCCAGAGCAAGTAAAAAATGTATCATGGATGCTTGAAAAGTCATGGAAAAGATGTGAAATTTTGTCCCTGAAAATGTGTGGTTGTTTTCAAAAGTGCCTCAGTGGCCCTCCTCTCTACTAAGCTAGGTTTGTGCTCACCGTCTTGATTCTGATGCAAGGGTCCGTGAGCCAAAAGTGACATCATCACACGTTTTGCTGTAAAGTGGGATTTATAGTTGTGAAGCTGACCCTACGCCGTTGTGAGCATTTATACTTGTGCGGTGGTGTGTCAGTGTCACTCTGTAGTTACACCTCCAAAACACTAGTCTGCAGCAGAGGTTTCTGAGAAGTGCTGTAAAGATTACTTTATTCAAAACACACATTAAACATGACTTAATAGAGACAGTTTCAAACTCAAGTACACAAATCAGCTTCACTATAACTCGCAGCATTCACAGACAAACACTTGTCTTTATCTGGACACATTTTCCCCACAAATACAACATGCTAATGTTATTAGCACAAGTCTGTGGCATTTTACATTGTATATATTAGCCTAGCGGCCAGCGATCTTTTCCTCTACTCATATGAAGCCAGGGACAACAGCAACATTTAACAAAGGTAAAGTTACATAATTTTGCTCCATTACAACTCAAAAGGTTCACTGACAAAACAACTGTCTTATACTAAACAGTTTTCCAAACAAATATACCATGCTAACGTTATAAGCACAAGCCTATGGCATTTTACATTGTATAAATTAGCCTAGCAACAAGCAGAGATTTCCTCTGCTCATATGAAGCCAGGATAAATCACACACAAGACATAAAATGCTGTTTTGTGGAGGCTTTATTGTCTTCACAATTTATTGTTTCTTATCTGTGAAATAAAAGTAATAAAAGCTTTGTTTCCACTGAGGGAAATGGTTTCAGCTTACAGAAACAGACAGGAGGTCTGTGTCGCCACAACATGTAGTTACATTTCTGGGGAGGTGCACGTCAGGCTACAGACACAGATCCGATGTCGATTCAGCGCAGAAGTATGAATTCCACATAAGCGCAAAGGCCCCACAAGTTGTCATTCATTGCATCAAACCCGCCCCATATTAGATAAACAGTTGTGATTGGCCTGAAGCAGGCCAGGTTGGCTTGAATATTGTGTAAATGGAAAGGTGACCAGATCCATCTGCTTGAGCAAATAAAACATGAGCTCGCAGATTCACCTGATACTCAGGCTATTATTTTATTTTCTTGATGAGATCTCCTTGTGTAGTGCACTCGTCAGTCGCATGAAATTCTGATGAGTCTTTTCACACCAAACCTGTTTTGTTCAGTTTAAAAAGACCCTGTTGCTTTTCTCGTTTTGTTGGCTTTGTTTGGGCGGCTCTGAAAGCCGTCAGTCGGACTCTGGTGTGGACTAAATACCTGGACACAGAGGGTCTGAGTCCATTTGTTGATCTGAGAGCAAATAGGCCAACAGCAGCATTTTGTGACAGTAGATGTGTGATTTTAGCATGATTTCAAAAGATAAACTACTATTAATTCTGGTTGTGAACTGTCAAGGAAGTCATCTTATAAGTGATGTTTTATCACACTCAAGTGAAGTTTTTTCGGACCTGATCTGAATAAATATTTTTAAATGGTAAATATTGTGTACCAGCTGATACCGAGTCAGATCCAGCACTTCTGAGTTCTTTGAAGTTTAGTTGCACAAGACTGATTGATCCTCAAACTCAGTGGTACAGCTGCTTAAATATACTGCCCTTCCTACACTCCTCATATTAAGACCAGTTTAAGAGGCTTTGATGTTGCTAGCTACATACAACATATCACGTGTTCAAGACCTAATGATCATCTGCACTGTCACGACTTTGTGCTTTTTACTACTCATCTGATCTACAGTTTAAAAATGTTCTTATCTGACATTTGTGTGTGTTTGCTGTTAGGTGGAGAAGGTGGATGCCCGCGGCGTACAGCTGGCTTCTCTCTTTATGGCTGGTGTCGACACAGCGCTGTTCATCAACGATGTGTGAGGCCAGCCGTTGCCATGGGAACACTGCTGTCCCTGGGGCTTCTTTGATGGCAAACTGTTTCAGAGCAAACTGGCTCGGGCCGCTCGAGACCGGGCCGCCCTGCTGGACATGTGCGAGGGCCAGGTACGTAATCATGTGGCAGCAAGGTGAGAGGAAATCAGGATATGATGGATTTTAGTTGATGATATTTAGTTTATAAAGCATTTTAGTGCGTCAGTCGAACAATGGTTGCTATTCAGTCCGATCTGAGTCCTTTAATATTTTGTGTCTGGCGATTCAGACTCCCATCCAATACTAACGTTCATCTAAATGTTGATTAAATATGTATCTGGAGCCTATCCCAGCTGACACTGAGCAAGAGGCAGGGTTCACCCTGGACAGGTCACCAGACTATCACAGGGCTGACACATAGAGACAGATAACCATTCACACCTACGGACAATTTAGAGTCACCAATTAACCTGCATGTCTTTGGACTGTGGGAGGAAGCTGGAGTATCCAGAGAAAACCCACGCTGACACAGGGAGAACATGCAGACTCCGCACAGAAGGGCTCCCCCACTCTGGATTCAAATCCAGAACCTTCTTGCTGTGAGCGACACTACTCCACCATACCGCCCACTATACAATTTATAAACATAAATTATTAACATTATATAAATGAAACTTTAACTGGGAGAATGCAGCTCCTGAAGCTGACGCGATCTGCCAGAGAGAGGATGTATCACTCTGTTGGAGATGTTAGAACTACAGAAACACTCAGTCCGCTTCTGTATGTCCAGTGTTACAGATTGATGCTTCTTTTATCTCACTAATAATCTTAGGCTGAGTACAGATGGCGGCCGACAGCACTTAAACCCAACAATAGCGAAGTAGCAAAGCGACGTCGCAGTGCTAGCGTGCTATACCTTGATTAATGTTGGGGCGCTTGGTGCTTTTGATGACTATTGCTCAACAAGAATGACAGTTTTCTTCCATGTCGAGTACCTGGAGAATACTTATTTCGCAGATGTCATGTTTTGTTGCGCAGTGTGATTAGTAGTGTTACTATTCTGCCATGGAGAAGGTAGTTTTTAAATCCACACCGGCTCTGACGTCTCTGTCCAAAAAAGCAGCTGTCTGTCAGAGCTGAGAGCGCAGCTGCCAGCCTTCACCAGGCTGACTGACAGCAGACATTTACACAATATAGTGTCATCAGTGTAGATATGGTTAATGAGTACCGTACGTACACTGATGGCGCTATATGACCAGAGAAAACAGAGAAAAAGGGCTGTGACATTTGCTTTTGTTCAAGAGGTAGACAACCTACAGCTTCTGTACTCTTTGTGTGTGTGTTGGTGGCGTGGGTGGAGGGTAAAACAAAAATGCGAAGTCCAGCGTCTAGTTCAAGCAACAGTCTGCACCAGCAAAAAGAGTTTTGCTGGGAGGGGAGCAGGAGGTTCTAGACAGTGGTTAGATGGAGGGAAGTATACCATAGTTCATTTACACATACTACCCACACTTATATGATACAAACCTGGTTGTAAATCAGTGAAGCACCCCTTTAAGATCATCTCGGGACATTTCTACCTTTCAGTCCTGGCTGTGTGGTTTATTCATATCAATAACTCTGTAGCTGCATCAGTCACAGTCGTCTCTCTGCTCTGCAGGAGGAGCTGGTGTCCAAGGTGGAGAAGATGCGTCAGGCAATCCTCGAGGGCATCAACCTGTCCCGCCCTCCTCCTCCTCCCCCTCCTCTTCCACCTCCTGCCTTTCTCCCCCCAGCCATGGTGCCCCCTTTTTACCCCATGCCTCCTATTTACCCACCTCGCCCCATGGGCGGGATGCCTCCTCATCATCATCACCCACATCATCCACATCACCCTGCCCAGCACAGACCCAGAGCCTTCCCAGGTACAGAGATGCTTCCTTACTTTTTACAGACACTGTTAAGCATTCTTTGACCTTCAGATAGACGTAGACATTATCTCCGCTTTCTCCTAATTCCATGCTACACTCATTTTAAGCAGCTTTTGAGTGCATAATGTGTTCACAGTGGAGAGGTTAGAAATTAAGGTATACTCAAACAATCAGTATGCACTCTTAAAGTGTGATGTTGATGTACATTATTGTCCCACAATGCAATGCATACAAGGAAACAGAGGAGCTTTTGACAGCTGAAAAAACTCATAACTACTTGACCCTTTGCTAAGCCCTCGTTCTTTGCTGTCAGCTGCTGATGGTCTGTCAAGCTGTTGGAGCCAGCACGGAGCCCACACAGTCACACACACAGTGCTTCACTCCCTGAAGAAACAGAGTTTGATATAAAGGAAAAGCGATTTCAGAGAGAAGCAGACAGAAGGATCTACAATATGTGTTTGAAGGATAAATCCAGGATGTTGAACTGACTCAGCAGCAGACAGGTTAAAAAGATAAAGACAAAAGCTGCAGCCTGCAGACCACAGTAAAGTGAACCACCATACTGCACGAGATGAATCACCCGGCGATTGAGACAGAAGACAGTGAAATGTAGGAGCAACATTGTTCCTGTTAATCCTGGGACTTACACTGAACAAAAATATAAACGCAACACTTTTGTTTTTGCTCCCATTTTTCATGAGCTGAAATCAAAGATCTAAAACATTTTCTATACACACAAAAGACCATTTCCCACAAATATTGTTCACAAATCTGTCTGAATCTGCGTTAGTGAGCACTTCTCCTTTGCCAAGATAATCCATCCCACCTCACAGGTGTGGCATATCAAGATGCTGATTAGACAGCATGATTATTGCACAGGTGTGCCTTAGGCTGGCCACAATAAAAGGCCGTTCTAAAATGTTCAGTTTTATCACACAGCACAATGCCACAGATGTCGCAAGTTTTGAGGGAGCGTGCAATTGGCATGCTGACTGCAGGAATGTCCACCAGAGCTGTTGCCTGTGAATTGAATGTTCATTTCTCTACCATAATCCGTCTCCAAAGGCGTTTCAGACAGTTTGGCAGTACATCCAACCGGCCTCACAACTGCAGACCAAGTGTAACCAAACCAGGCCAGGACATCCACATCCAGCATGTTCACTTCCAAGATCGTCTGAGACCAGCCACCAGGACAGCTGCTGCAACAATCGGTTTGCATAACCAAAGAATTTCTGCACAAACTGTCAGAAACCGTCTCAGGGAAGCTCATCTGCATGATCATCGTCCTCATCGGGGTCTCGACCTGACTGCAGTTTGTCGTTGTAACCGACTTGAGTGGGCAAATGCTCACTTTCGATGGCGTCTGGCACGTTGGAGAGGTGTTCTCTTCACGGATGAATCCTGGTTTTCACTGTTCAGGGCAGATGGAAGAGAGCATGTGTGGCGTTGTGTGGGTGAGCGGTTTGCTGATGTCAACATGGATCGAGTGGCCCATGGTGGCAGTGGGGTTATGGTATGGGCAGGCGTATGTTATGGACAACGAACACAGGTGCATTTTATTGATGGCATTTTAAATGCACAGAGATACTGTGACGAGATCCTGAGGCCCATTGTTGTGCCATTCATCCACGACCATCATCTCATGTTGCAGCATGATAATGCACGGCCCCATGTTGCAAGGATCTGTACACAATTCCTGGAAGCTGAAAACATCCCAGTTCTTGCATGGCCAGCATACTCACTGGACATGTCACCCATTGAGCATGTTTGGGATGCTCTGGATCGGCGTATACGTCAACGTGTTCCAGTTCCTGCCAATATCCAGCAACTTCGCACAGCCATTGAAGAGGAGTGGACCAACATTCCACAGGACACAATCAACAACCTGATCAACTCTATGCGAAGGAGATGTGTTGCACTGCGTGAGGCAAATGGTGGTGGTATTTTATTTTATTGTATTGTATTTTATGTATCTTATGGTTATTATTGTGGTGTACTATTGGGTACCTCATTGTATTTGCTTGTTTATTTCTATTGACCTGTTCAGCACTTTGGTCAACCTTGGTTGTTTTAAATGTGCTTTATAAATAAAGTTTGAGCTGAGTTGAGTTGAGTTGAGTCACACCAGATACTGACTGGTTTTCTGCCCCCCCAATAAAGCAAAACTGCACATTTCAGAGTGGCCTTTTATTGTGGCCAGCCTAAGGCACACCTGTGCAATAATCATGCTTTCTAATCAGCATCCTGATAACGGGAGCAAAAACAAAAGTGTTGCATTTATATTTTTGTTCAGTGTAATTCATTGTTACAATCATTACAAAGCAAACGCAGCATGTGTATGGATTCAGTATGCATTAAGCCCCGATCACACAGAGAGCGTTTTAGCAGCTGGAGGCGCCTTTTTGTAAGTGTTTTTAATGAGAATGAAACTTTTTGCTCGTGTTTTTTGTGGTGCCACGTGCCTCGCGTTATTGCACTGTAGGCACCTGGCATTTTTGACGGAGCAATCTGAACTCCTCGAGTTGGAAAAACTTCAACTCAGAGCAGAAAAGCACTCCATGTTGTCTCAGCTTTTTTCCCATTGTCCAGTCAGATGATTTGAGAGGCGGGCCTTCTGTGGTGGTCACGACAACAAGGTTACAGTTGGTAAACAATGGAGGAGAAACTGGTGGTAGTGGTTGCTGGATACCCAGAGCTGTACGGCCCAACGATAGACAGCAGGTTGTCAAACTGCCCCTGAGTCATCCTAAAATATGCCTGGAAACGTCCATCATGGAGGAAAAGCTCCTGGACCAACTGGTGGTACTCCCCATGATCCAGCCTCTTTTTTAGGGTCTCATGTACCCACACAGATCTCCGTTTATCTGCTGACAGCCTCTCAGCCTCAACCAGAGCTACAGACAGGACTCTCTGCCTCAACATTTTAGGAACTAGATACTGATTACTGTGAAATAAGAGTCTGTGGAGCACAGCTGTGTAGTTGTCGGACCCTAGTCGGAGCTGGCTGATGCTACACTATAACTGGCAAAGGGTCCGTTGTGGATAGTGATGAAACAGCTCCAGAAAACCAATAAAGGAACTCTTAAATCTGTGTAGAAATATTTTGCCGTCTCTTTTAAGTCTGGTCGGCAGCGTCATTGTACAGTTTTGATCGCCTTTACACAGGAAAGCAGGGCAGGATTATTTATACAGCACCTTTCAACAACAATGAAACTCAGAGTGCTCAACAAAAGGCAGTAAGACAAACTCTAAAAGAAACACAATGTAAAAAGACAAATAGTTTTTGAAAATAATCCAAGAAAAAAATATATTACAGTGCAGACCAAGATAAATAAATAGCCCCAAATGTAATAAAAGGCAGCGTCACACAGAAAAGTTTCTAACTTTGATTTAAACAGAAAGTTGCAGACCTTATTTTGTTGCTTATATGTGGTAACTGTAATGTGTACTTTAGTTGTGTTTATTTTCTCTTAATATAAAACAGTAAAGTATCCCAAGTTCTTGCAAACAAACCCTGAAAAACCCTACACAGTACTTTAAAGAACATTATACAGTACATACTGTGCACAGTCAGTGTGCAGTGTGGAAGTAGGACACAGCTAGAGTTTGTTATTTGAGACTCCACAGTAAAGAAAGTCACTTCTTTTCTTCTTTCCTCAGGCCTTCAGTCCATCCCCCCTCAGGGAGGGAAACTGGAGATAGCTGGTATGGTCGTTGGCCAGTGGGCTGGCAACAAACCAGTCCGTGGGAGAGGGGGGTTCAACATGCAGGTGGTGTCAGTGGGAGCAGGGAGAGGGTGAGTAAGACCATGATCCTTTAATCAATATAGCTAATGGCTGAGAATGAAGTTAGTGTGAGGCTTGAGTGTACTCCTAACTATTCTCTGTGTCGTTATATTAACATCAGCCACAAGCATATTCTTCCACCAGCTTTCCAACATTGTAGAAACATTACATATGGCGTCATTATGACCCTGGTTTAGAAATCCATTCTCAAAACATGGAAATACTATTTAGTCACAGTGATTGCATTAATATTGATGTCTGTTGTTTCAGTCGCAAACAGGCGGCTGTTGATTACTGCTGAAGGCAATAAGAAAGAAATAATTTCCTCAAAGACTAGCTGAGCAAAATTAGTTTGAAAGTTGCTGTAATTATTGGCAATTCCGGAAGATAAATACTAGATCAAGCCAGCAACATTAGCAAGCTCGCTAACGATCAGATTTCACACTCGCTCTGTTATCTGACAACAGGAACAGAAAAATATGTAAATGAGAACAACTATATTGTCAGTTCGGCTCCTTTGCAGTGATGGTGATCAAAGAGAGGAGGAGGGGGCTGAAGGGAGCTTGAATTGGTCTTCCCCCTCTCTCTCACTGACTACAAACATGAAAAAGAAGCATTTAAGGTTAAAACATAATTTACTGAACAATAACTAGTTGTTTTTTAATATTATTTATAAAAACTTAAGTTGTTGTCTGTGTTCTGGAGTAAGAGGGAAAAAGAGCAAGAAAGTTGTGTCATTTTCAACACTTTCCTCAGTGTATGCTCTCTACACAAATCAAGGTTTGGCTTTGTTCATTGATTAACAATCAAATAAGATGATAATTATACCTTTTAGGGATGTCGATGTTAACTGCGAGAATATTTTTAGGGCTACCCCCAATAGTCGATTAAAGTTAGTCGACCAGAAAGGTCATTAGTCGATATGATTTCAGTGGATGCTTAGTCACAGGAAAAAAAAGAAAAAAAAAGTGAAACCCAATAAAGAGCTGCGCCTTGTCAAAATAAATCAAACCTTAATTTGAAAGGACAGACACAGGAAGTGTCCACGCTCAGCAGTCGACAGATATCTTTCCCTTCTTCTGTAAATATTCAGTCTGATAAACACGGAAAAGTTGATCATGTTAGGAGAGGGTGGCCGCCATGTCTCACAGCCATGTTGTGACGTCACCTGGACAGCGTTACCAGCAGTTATCGCAAATAAGCAGCTCCATTAGCTAACTTAGTTCCCACCTGCCCTGGGTGGTGCACGATGCAGAGCTGCTAAAGCTAACGTAACAGTAAGCACTTAGCTACACGTGACATGTAGTGCTAAAGCTCCTGTATTTCACTTTATTTTGCCTTTAAAAAAACAAACTAGTTAGTTACCGGTTAACTGACGTCCCTAATCCCTACACCTCTTTTAATTTTAGCTTCAAAAAGATATTGGCAAAAAAATTATAGACTCCTTTTCACTTTTGAATGGGTGATCAAAACTTAACTCGCCTGCATGGATTTACTTTGCAGCTAATTCTGGAATGCTGATGTGATCAAGCCTTAAAGCAGAATATTGATACTTGTTGTGTTTCACATCTGATCTGAACGTCTCTCTGTTTCTTCATCACAGGAGGGGTAAAGAGATTCCAGCTAAAGTAAGGGGGGTGAAAAAGACACCTACCAACAGATCACAGGTACGACACGAGCAAATGTTCTTTAAATTTAATTTAAACTTTAATTTTCCTTCATGGATCGTGATCACAGCTATGAATTCCCTCTCTGTCTGTGATGTTCCTTTTGGCCATCTTGCCTCCTGCTGTCCTGTTAAAATTCTGCATGGCTGTCCTCCTCCAGACGTCGCCACCCCCGCCATCCAGCAGTCCCCCAAAGCCCTCAGAGGAGGCGGCCCCCACGCCAGAGGTTACAACTCAGCAGCTGAATGGCAGCTCAGCAGCCTCCGCCATCGGCCAGCCCTTGGAGCTGGCCCCCCTGGCCCAGCCAATCCCGTGTGCCTTAGCCAGCAGAGACAACCAATCAGAGGGGGTGGATGTGGAGGCCCCCTGTTGCCTTGACGACTGCCCGTCAGACGGAGCGCTACAGAAGGAGGAGTGATGGCATCCTTCCCGGGATGCACTGCTCTGAGAGAGTTCTCTGTGTTTGACTGCCTTTCCCTGTTTTTGTAGCCCCGCCTGCTAGCTGTGCACATTATCACATGGAGCAGGAAGTGAGGCGAGGCTCCTCCTCGCCGTCCCTGCTGCTCCATGTGATAGGCTAAAGCAGTTAGCTGTTACTTCCTTTTTAGTTTTCTCATGTGGTTTCACATTGTTTTATGAAGAGAGGTTTTCTCCATGAGTCTGTAAGCGCCCCACCCCTCAAAAATCCTAAATGCCTCCCTTTCGCACTCAGAGTAAAATAAGCTTGAAGCCTCCCCACCCCCATTACGACCCACCACTTAAACGACCCACCCTTAAGTATGGGTATCTGTACAGTTAAAATGTCTTATTTTGTGTTTTTAATGGTCCCATTGTTTTAATCTCTGCACACAGATGTTAAGCGTGCGGTTACGGTGACAGATTGGATGTGGTTTCCATGGTTACAGCATCAAGGCCTGGTCGCCATGGTTGGTAGTTGTGTGCTGATGCGGTTTGTTGCCATAGCCATCTCGTGTGAGGTTTGTCTTACATGAATCCAGAGAGATGTCCAGAGTTTGACTCCGGATGTGTGAGTAAGATTTCAACAAAGTGATGTACCATTCTTCTGTGCAGTGACCCTCGCCCCCCCACCCCCTCGCCCCGCACTCCAGCAGCACTGCTAAACACACGATGTTAGTTTACGTACTAGCAACGAACCCCTTTATTGATTGATTGGTTATCTATCACAGGAGCACTTCTGCACCACCATGGTATTAGCGTGCTATCTTACTTTGACCCATGTAGCAAAGCCTCGTGCTTAGCTGTGCTGAGACCCCATGAATTTATGCACCTTAAGCCCTAAAGTATGCAAAATATTACCCCGCTCCTCCAAAAAAAAAAGTGCATTATTATATGATCCTCCCATCCCCTTTGTCCCTTTCTCCCAAAGCTTTGATTGTATAATCCCAACAAAAAGCACTTCATGTTGTATTTAAATAGGATAAATTTGAACAAGCCCCTTGACAGGTGAATTGACAGTCTGAGAGGGGTGTCCCCTGCGCCTAAGTAAATCATTATGACATGTAGAACTACATTTAAAGGTAGAGATCTATTTGCGAGACGTCAGAATGTGAACAGAGTGGTTTCAGACAAAGAAGCACTTTGTTTTAAAAAATGTTAAACCACACTGGACAGTCTTCTACCAGGTGATAAAGAAATGAAAAAAAAAACTCTGAGGCACCTTCTGGAGTTTAAGGCCAAAAAGAAAAGAATACTGCTGCCCAGCAAAAGATGGAAATGAATGGTGAGGATTTAGGTAACTGCTGCCAGGCATAGTTCCCTTCAGACTGGCCTCACGTGTTCAATCATGAACTTTGCAATGAAGCTGAAAGGACTCCTGGGAATCTTTTCAGATTTCTAAAAAGTTATTTCCAAAGTGTATTTTTAAAGAAAAAAACGGCTCGCCAACTGAGGCAGCCAGCGATATTAAAGGGGTGTGGCAACAAAGCCTCAAAGATCCCCCCCACCCTCTGGTGGTGATTGAGTAACTGTTGTCATGACGATAGCCCAACACCATGAGCTGCTGCCCCGCGCAGCTCTGGTGTGTCACTTTAGACCAGCAGGAAGCACTTCCCTGCCCTGAAGGGCCTCAGCTGAACACGGCGGAGGCTTTATGGGTCGGATCACATGACAGGAGAGAGGGAGGTCTCATGGCGGACCCGAGTGTGCCGCTCACAATCTGAGACTTCTAAGATAATGTTTTATTAGAGCACTTATGTTTGTAGAGAATGAGATGTGTCCCCCATAGTAGGTTTCATCTGACTACGGAAATACAACTTACCAATAGCTGGTAGCACAACTGCAAATGTAAAAGCAGTAGACCGACAGATACTGCCTGAGAGATGCTGGCCATGAACATTGTTATCTCTATAAACTTACTAAGAGAGGATGAGCTCGCTATGTTAAAAAGAAAAAGGCAAGTCAACAAAGAAGCACCTTATTTTCTTACTATGTTGATGACTTGTGCTCTATCGTGTGCCACAGAATTGACATGGAACAAAGCTCTTATGAAATGCCGTTTTGAAGGAAAAAACCCTGACTATATATGTAAGTGTTAATGTAGTCGCGTCAGACATCCCCTCAGTTATGAACTCAACCATGACAGTAGACCCAGCCGTGAGTGTAGGCCTGCGCTCATCATCACAGGGGCTGAGCCACGCCGCCGTCTCTTACACCAACACCAAATCAGAGGTTCGGACTTGTTATTGGTAGGGAACAAGCACACAAGTGCTGTCGGTGTTTATAGGTTAAGAGTAGGTACCAGCGTCGGGCTTAACACAGGACTGTAATACACAGACACCAAGACTAGGCTAGAAAATATAGCTCCACTGGCCGAAATACTAAGTCTAGAATTACTAGGAGTCATATACTTAACTGCTTTCAACTTTTGACATTAGTACAAATATGTGTATCGCAACAGTACATTGTTAGAAGATGGCTTTTCTGCGGCGAGCCAGAGTGTGATCTGGTATACGATGCCCTCTCTCGATTCGCTCGCCAGATAACAGTTACACACACATGCATACATACACATACAAACAGAACACACACACACACACACACGACAAACGGGTATTCAGTTGCATTTGTTACCAGCAGCATTCTCTCTGCTTTTGTGCTGAAGTGATTTTGTGCAGTTTCAGTTCCCAGTGGAGTGGTCGTCAGTTCATCAGAGATCATTTTGGTAACACATTCTACTGACTCTGGAAAAGAATAAAATAAAATCCCACATTTTCAACAAGTTTGCATGGACGGATTAAGAATACATGTTAGAGGTGTCACAGAAACAACCATCTATACACACACACACACACACACACACACACACATACACACACACACAGATACATAGATGTTAAACCCTGAGTTACACAGTAGCTAGTATGGAAAAAAAGTCAACACAATACATGATGTAGTGTCCCTCTCTCGTCCTTGTCTGTTTTAGTTCGATAGATATTTGATCAGTGATTTTTATGCTTGTTATCCTAACCCCACCCCCACCCCCCCACCCTGCAATGACACTTTCTCTCGCCCTTACTCCTTCCCCCAAATCACTTCTTCTTCTCTCTGCCCTTCAGTCTTCCCCATAGAGTACATACATCCATTCTCACGCACTCACACACACACACCACTCCCACTGATTCCCATTAAAAGCAGTCACACACATAGTACACACGTACATATTTCACACAGAGTTTAAACCCTCCCGTCACTTCCTGTGTTTCAGTTCTCTCTTTCACTCCTCTCACCTCCCTCTCTGCCTCTCCTGTTAGCCCCTTAGGACCGTTTCTATTGGCCGTTTTTTTCTCTTTTTCTCTTTGGGCTGCCCCGCCCCTTAATCAACCCAACTAACAGTAAAGGTTATATTAACGTTGATAATCAGTTTCTGTATGTATCTAGCCAGAGTCTGGAAAAAAAAATCAGAAAAAAAAAAACGGTTTTATTCAATTGTGCAAATGTGTTTTTTCTTACTATTTTTAATGTTATTACATCTTCTAATCTAATCCTTCTACCATTGCTTCAGTTAGTACTGAAATACGCTTAGCCAACCTAGAGATTTGAACTGTAATGATTGCGATTTTCCTTACCTGTATTTTATATGGCATCTTTAGACCACCGTTTATTATGTACGTAAGTAAATATTGCCCGTTTTTCGAAAATTGTCGTCTGCACTATGTTACGATTCTCATAATATCCCTGATAACGATTTCGTGGTCGACTCATTATCAATCTAAGCTGAACTCTGCGCCCTTGCACAAAGCAGCGAAACATCTCTTGTAAACACCTGAGAACCAAAGTACACCTAGCATCCCCCTCTAATCCCTATAAAGCCCCCTATAGTCCCCCCCCCCAACCTCCACCCGCCATCGACGGTTTGCCCCCGAGTAACAAGTTTTCTGATGATTATATATATAATGACATTACAGCACGTGTGATTTACCTGACAAGTCTGTGAGGTACCGGTGTTTTTGTTTTTGTAACACTGTGGTTGTCGTGGAGATGCAGACAGACAGGGAAAGAAGGAAGGAAGGAAGTGTGTTTGTGTGGACAGTGAGTGTCACTTCTTCATTGACTGAATTCAGGCTGTGTGAGCCACTGCACGTGCTCAGATCAACACTAATACACAGGAACACCCGCTTTCAGTCACGCTGGGGTTTTGGCGCCCTCTTTTGCATTTTTTTTTTTTTTTTTTTAACATGTAATTGTTGTGCTCTCTCAAACTTGCCTTTAATTTCCCAGACTCAGACTGAAATAGCAACTTACTGCTGTACTGAGTCTCTTTATGTACGTGGGCACGGAGGCTGCTGAAAGTGGCTGAATTCTCCTCCAAACACAAACCTGAGATTACATGTCATCGTGCAAGCAAGAAATACTTCAGCTTTATTTAAGGAAACAAGCTAAGCTCTAGCTCAGTGGTTTCTTAACTTGTTTCATGTGAAGGACCCTCAGATCGATACACATCAGGTCATAGACCCTCATGTGATAAGATTTTGATTATTAGCCATGATTCAGAAGAGTCTCTCATGACTCTGTGTCATATCGAGCTCAGTTTTAACCGCTGGTTGAGAACCACTGACCAGGCTCCAGGTTTTCAGTTGGCTGCTTTTCTTTAGAACTGCAACGATTATTTGATTAATCAGAGATTACAACAGATCAGCAACAAATCTGATAACCAATCACTAATTTGAGTCATTTTTCAAGTAAAAATTCCAAATATTGTATGAAATATGAGAATTTGATATTATCGTTGGATTGCTGGTTGAATGAAACAATCATTTTTCTCTGTTTTCTGACATTTTTCAGATTATACGATTAATTAAGAAGTCTGATTAATTAATAGTAACAATGTGTTCACTTGGAATCAGGCGTGAAAACAAGTAGACTGAATGGCAGGACGTAAAATAAAACACGTGACGGTATGTTGCGATGGTGATGCTTAATTGTTTACAAAGAATGGAATAAAATATAATAAATAAGATCAGTTTGTTTTTATTATTTTTATGTTCCTTTCTTGTAATATCCAGCAGTCGCCCGTGTTGTTGCCTTGTGTGAAGGATCCATGTCCGGCAAAATGTTAGAATATTTAACTTTTAATGTCAGTGCCGTCGATATGGAAGCAAATAAGAGGCAAAAATGTCTGAATTTTATAAGCAACTGGAAACTTACTGTTGAAATTTAAACATCACTAAATTAATAGGACTGAAATTTTTACTTTGAAAACTGTGTATTTTAATTTATTAGTTCTGAATTTACCAATTTATATAAAAAAAAAAATATTGGTCATTTCAAAAACTAAATTCGATTTTTTTTTTCTTTTCTTTTTTTTTCTTTCCAAATCGAAAAATTCGAGTTTCATAAATTTAAAAAACAGATTCAGGTTGCTCAAATTTGATTGGTCAAACTCAGATAAATTAAAATTCAAAGAGAAGATCAGTCAAATCTGATTGGTCGAAACATTCAGGCCTGTCCTGTCTGGTGTTGCTGTTGAAAAAACAAAATCAGAGATTTTAGATCTGAATTTGGAAGATTTTAGCAAACTGACAGTTTTACTATTATTTTTTTAATTCCTCAACTTAAATTTTCTGAATTTGTGACCATTTAGAAGAAATCATTTCAGCTTTTGAAACTGCAAATGAAGAAATTTCATATTTGAATTTCTAAGAGGTTAATTCAGATCAAATAGATTTAAGATACATGGTTTTCAAAGTTAAATATTTCAATGCTATGAATTCAGTGGAGTTTAAATTTCTATATTCAATATTCAGTGGTTGTTGAAATTGAAATAGCCCAGTTACGTCTCTTATTTGCCTCCATATATCTACTGTTACCATTGCTGGTATTCTCTGCCGGCTTCACATAATTTTACTGTCCTGCTCTCGTCCACTTAAATGACATCTGGTTTGCCATATGTCGTCTCTGATTCCATGTGAAAGCAGTGTGATTGTTATCTGCAGCCTTGATTTCTTGACGTTATGTGACAGTGAACTGTAATTCTTAAATATTGAAACAAGTGATTTGAAGGCGTCACTTTTTTATAGTCCAAACTTTGAGTAGTTTAACTGAGAAAATAATTGTTGCAGCTGTAAAAGACTCCGTGGCCTCATCAGCAAATTACAATCCATGACCTTGAGCTTTCTTTAATAATCCATAAAAAATTATTTTACAATATATCTCCAGTTTCTAAACCTCAGCTGAAGTGTTTGTGAGGAAAATTCACCTCCTCTGTGACTGATGATGAAAAGATGAGTTGTCCAGCCGATAAAAGCGTCCTGCCTCACTGCCTGCGCAAATGGGAGCGCCTCTGAAGAGCTCGACAATGTTAAAGAGAACCAAAAGTCCCAGAATAGAAATGTACTATGTTGTATTGTAGAAGTCAAACAGTATTATTGTCTGTCATACAGAATGTGGAAAGGAGTCATCAGTCTTGTCGTACCTGTTATGATCTATTTGCAGGATTCTCGCAGCATTTTGTCCAGTTTGAATAAAGGTCCCTATTCTGTCTGTCTCTCTCTACACTGCCACTCCCCCCCTCAACAGCCCCCAAGCTCCAGTATAATCCCCCCCCCCTTCCCCCCTCCAGTGGTCGAGTCCTGGTAAGGGCTCAAGTTGATCATTATGGGCTATTTCTTGTCACGTTGGTCAATCGTGCCCGCAGCCACAAGTGTACCGATGCATGTACTTCAGTACCCAGGGCCACCCGAAACTACCTGTGCAGCGAAAAAGGGTGAAAACTTACCCATAATATTATTGTTATAGAAATATTATCATCATTATTGCTGTTATAATTATGGTTGGTATAATTTGTCATCATTGTTAGCATTATGGAAGCACCGGACTGTTGTGGAAAGATGAGAAAAAAAGAAAGCTTTTTTTTTTTTTTTTTTGTTAAATTTGTCTGGCTGTTGGTGGTCTGATCTCACAGAGGGAGGGGAGGAATGGTTCAGAAAGAGACAAAGATGGCAGTCATGTTTGTACTGGTTGGGAAATGACTTACAGTGCTGAAATAAAATTTATTCTTTTAGTAAAAAAAGTATTTATTGCATCCACTGTCTTGATTTTGTATGTGTACACACATATGTCTGTCCGTCCATCCATCCCATTCTTGTGAACGCCATATCCTAAGAACACCTTTTGTGAATATCTTTAAATTTGGCACAAACATCCAGTTGGACTTGAGCTTTTAAGATTTTGGTTGTCAAAAGTTAAGTTCACAGTGAACTTGTGTCCATCTTGTAAACGTGATACCTCAAGAACACCCTTAGGGAATTTCTTAAAATTTCGCACAAACATCCACTTGGACTTGAAATGATAATATTTTGGTGGTCAAAGATCAAGGATACTCTGACCTTACGTCCAATTTACTCTCATGAAAGCATAATAATTGGCAAAAACATCCACTTGGACTTGAGCTTTTAAGATTTTGGTGGTCAAAAGCAAAGATCACTGAGAACTTGTGTCCATCTTATTCTTGCAAACATGATATTTTAAAAATACCTTAAGGAAATTTCCTCAAATTAGGCACAAACATCCACTTGGATGAACTTAGATTTTGGTGGTCAAAAGTCAAGGTCACTGTGACCTCGTCTGTCTCATTGTCATGCTATTTGTCAAGAAAGGAATTTCTTCAAATTTGGCACAAACGTCCTCTTGGATTCAAGGGTATATTGGTTATCTTTAGTGGTCAAAAGTTATAGGTCAAGGTTACTGTGACCAGGTCCATTTCATTCTTGGGAACACAATATGTCACCTTAAGGGAATTTTTAAAATTTGGCACAAATGTCAACTTTGACTTGAAATGATAATATTTTGGTGGTCAAAGATCAAGGATACTAAGGATTTTGTTCTCATGAAAGTGATAACTCAGGAACACCTTTTGGGAATTTATTTAAATTGGGCATTCACTTGGACATGAACTTTTTAGATTTTGGTGGTCAAAAGTCAAGATCACTGTGAACTTGTGTCTGTCTCATTCTTGTAAAAGTGATATCTTAAAAAGACCCGCAGAGGATTTTCCCAAATTTGGCACAAACGTCCACTTGGACTCAATGATAAACTGGTTAGGTTGTTGTGGTTGAAGGTCAAGGTCACTGTGACCTGGTCAGTCTCATTGTAATAAACGCTATATCTCAGGAACACCTCAAGGGAATTTCATCAAATGCAGCACAAACGTCCTCTTGGACTCAAGGGTATACTGGTTATCTTTAGTGGTCATAGTTCAAGGTCACTGTGACCAGGTCCATCTCATTCTTATGAACACAATTTGTCAAGAACACCTTCAGGGAATTTTTCAAATTTGGCACAAACTTCAACTTTGGCTTGAAATTATTATATTTTGGTGGTCAAAGATGAAGGATACTCTGACCTTGCGTCCAATTAATTCTCATGAAAATGATATCTCAGGAACACCTTGAGGGAATTTAATTAAATTTGGCAAAAACATCCACTTGGACTTGCACTTTTTAGATGCCAAAAGTGGTGCCAAAAGTCAAGATCACTGTGAACTTGTGTCCGTCTCATTCATTCGTTTTCAAAGAATTTGTTTAGCTTAAGAATATATTTGAATACTATAGAAAGAACTTTATTCATCTCAAAGGGAAATTCAGCAAATTCAGAAGTAAGAGAATTTACTTTTAATACTGGAGGTAAAGTCAGCTTCTGCTTCGCTCCCGCTCCCAAACAGACGACGCGTTTAGGGGTGAAAACACTTTATGACTCAGAGATGAAGGAAAATAAAGATGTTTAAAAAGGGTTCACAGTTTTACAAACATTTGATTGTAAATGGCGACATCTGCTGGTCAAACCTCGGTAGTGCATTTGTGTGTATGCATTAAATCTGAGCTCATGATGAAGCAGTTACAGACCTGATTTTACTGCTTTTATTATTATTATTTTGTTCATTTAAGGTTGAACAATAAAAGCAGACCACTTTGTGTATTTATGTAGCTTTAACTTTTTACTTTTATTTGTAGACTACCTGCTGTTTGTTTTTTATTTGTGTGTGAATACTCATACGTAAAGTGCCTTGGACTGCCTTTTTGGGAGTCTGTGTGGTAAATATTAAATATCATTATTGAGAAAACAATCACTTTTAAACAGCTTTGTTTTTAAATACTGAGACAGATGGATAAGAACATCCCCCTTTTTCTTTTTAACAACAAACAATATAATAAATATATACATCCCTATGTGCAAGAGTGGTAAAAAAAATAAAACACTAATATTTTAAACAAAATAGTAACAATTATGACTATGAATTAAAGTACATAAATTGTGAAAAATTCAAACAAAGAATATGATAAATAAATATACATTGTCTTCACTTGTAATTAATTAAACTATTAGTTTATTTGTAGGCTACACTCTCAGGCCTTTAAACTGTTTTTTTTTTTGTTGTTGTTGCAGATTTAATATTCATATTAACTATATACTTAGATAATTGAAATAAACAAAAATAACTTCAGTATACAGGACATATTTACATGTAGAACAATAGCAAATAAGCCAGGGATATGTCACACTAGAACAAAATATTATAAACATAAGGATATTAAGTGTCTAGTCAGCCTTTTTGTCAGTGATATTAGAAAGTAGTTTCACATATTGCTCAACATTCTCCAGGAAAAAACAACAACCAAAAAAATGCTAAATTTATATTTGAGAATAAAAGAATATTGCCAACATCATTATCATATGTACTATAAAAACACGTTTGTCTTGTTTTTATTATGTTTTTGAAAACTTTCAACGTTTTTATTATTTTCGTTTCTTTTATTTTCTTTATTGAACAACAAATTTACAACAACAAGGCAGGTTGAACATATAAATACTTATGTGCCAGATTAGTAAAAATAATAATAATAATTATTATTATTATTAAATAAAAATCTAATATTAGAAATGAAACAATAACAGTTAAGAAAATAAATTAAAGTACATACTATACTGTAAATAATACAAATAATGAATGTGTTGAATAGATGTGTATATGTTCTTCAGTTGTAAGATAAGATAAGATAAAATATACCTTAATTGATCCCACAATTCATTCATAATTTAATGCACTGTCACTCCCAAATTCTATTCTATTTTTTTTCTCTCTTATTTTTACTATGATTATGTTAAAATTATTTTAGACTGATCTATCTTATCTTTCTCTTTCTTTTGTTATTTATTTTATGTTGAGATTAAGGTTGTTAATGGTTGTCTTTGTCAAGTTTTATTTTATTACTATTTCTCATCTAGTGTTTTGGATTGACCCGTGGGACCCCCTCACAAACGAGATGTCGCATCTCAAGGGGTTTATCCCGTTAATAAAAGAAATTTCAGCCACAACTGAAAAATTCCAGTGTTACAGCAGTCAAGGGGAAAGAGTCAGATTAAAGATTTCAAAATTTAAAAACTTAAAAAACTAGGCATGCAAAAAAAAAAATGCAAAAAATACAAGAGACAGCAATACATAATTATAATAATAAGAATAATAATAATAATGAGCAGTGGATAAAAAGTGAGCAATGGATTAAAGGGAACATATTTAGTGCAAAGTGAAAATTGTATGTGCAAATAAACAACAACAAGGGGGACAGTTATGCTTATCATGGTTTGTACATTTAAGATCTGTTAATTTATTTGTGTGTGTGTGTGTTTTAATTTGATTAAACAAAACAATAGATAACAATAATAACAATAGATAATAATAATAATAAATTCAATGTACAGGAGATATTCACATATGGAACAATAACAAAAGAGCCAGGAGCAGCAATGTCACAAAAGACAAAAATATTGTAAAACATTCAGAAACAGAAAGTAGTTTCACAAATTGCTTAACATCCTCCAGGGAAACAACAGATTTATGAATAGAATAAATTGCCAACATAAAATAATAATAATGATAAAAAAAAAAAAAAATAAATAAATAAATAAATGTTATTTAAGTCTGACAGATAAAAGTAAATACATTTTTTAAAAATAATTATAATTTATCTTCTTTCTTTTTTATGAAGATCACTGACAACTCTGCAGATGTCTTTTTAACAACATGAAGCGCGACACCCCTCTGACACGAGCGTGACGTCACGAGGCCTCGTTTGGGGGTTGGTCACGTGATTTTTGGCGTGGTGAAGCGAGGCATCGAAACATCTCGCTGCTGCTGCTGCTGCGATACTTGTGCTGAGAAAAGGTCGACACCGTGAACGGGTACCGTCCGCCTCGAGCTTCACATCACCGACTGTCACTGATGTGGACCAACCGCCGACAGCCGCGGGGCCCGCGGGGCCGTGCGGGGCCGGAGGGGATGTGACAGCAGGCGGACTGAGAGGTCGAGAACCGCCAATTCCAGCTAGCTGTCAGCTAGCATGTTAACACTGTGTGGCTAGCTAGCTGGCTAGCTGACTTCCAAGGCTGGTGCTGCAGTTAAAAGCTAAACTAACTACCCTGCAGCCTCACTCTCACTCATTTAATACGAGTCACCGTAACGTCTACACAGGCTAATTTACTTAGCAGCTAAAGCTAACTAGCTTGAGAGGCTGAGGTGGTGTCCAGGTTAGCCTGTTAGCCTCACCTGATGTAGGATACAAGCTACCAGCAGAAAATGTTAGCGGTCGCTCAGTGACTGCTGCTGTTTGATGTGCGTTGGTGGTGAGGCCAGTCCGTCATGTCCTGCTCCTTTTTATAGCATGTTTTCCTTGTTCCCCAGGTACCCGCCTGGCACTGGAGACCCTCCTCAAGGACAGGGAGCCTCCTGAGAAGTAGGCTACATCATTTTGTGAAGATTGGTCACCTCTTCTGTTTCTCACATCTTATTCCTTCACTCGTGTCCTTGGTAGATGTGTTTCACCAGGAATTAGCAAGACAAGATGAGAACAGCCTTCATTTATATCCAGAGGGGAAATTCAACTGTTGCAGCAGCACAAAGGCAGAAAACAGTGCAGAAAGCAGTCAAGTAAAATATAAAATAAAAGGTAGTATGTAAGAAAAATTGAGCTGTACAGGAGCAATTAAAGATTAAGTTACAAGGTACAGTGACAGGATATGATGAGTTGTGGAGAGTGTAGCATAAACACTATGATACATACTGTAGTTAAGTAATGATATTTAGTGTTGTATGTGTTGAAATGGCAAAATATAATACAGTGTATGATGTGTGGTCAGACCGTATAACACTAACATAATATAGTAGGATATAGTACGTGGTCCTAATCTGGCCTGTAAAAGGGTGCCGACCATGTTCTAAATCTAGATGAATATAAATTAATTCATTTTTTGTACTTTGAATGTAAATAAGGAGCCCAGGTGCATAAAAAAGCACCAAAATAGAGCTTTAAACACACCAGCATACAGCAAGGGTTGAAAACAGGCAAATAATTTACTTTATATTATGATAAATATTATTAATGTTTGTTAACCGTCCTCTGGCCTCCTGCCATTTTGCCAAATTGCCCCCTGGTCAAAGCCAGCTGTTATCCCTGTATAGTATTTGACGTAGGATATAAAATGCAGTGTAATAGCAGTAGTAATAATATATAATCTAGTATAAGAGTGATGCTTAACTTGCGGCTTGTGGACCAAATCTGGCCCATGATAGTGTGCCTAATGGCCTGCCGACCATTTTCTCAATGAAAATAAGTTGATTTACACTGAATGTTTTTGCACTTTGAATGTAGATAATGTGCCAAAGAGCAAACTATCGAACTAGGGCTTGGTTATTAACAAAGTACCAGAGCAGGATCCCCTGGACCCCTGAGTAGAGGTCCAGGCCGAGCCCCTAATGTCCTTAAATCCTTGAAACACCCCTGTGTGCACCTGATCTGTGCGGGGCTGCTGAGACTGGATTTGCCTCTTAGCAAAGTGACAGCAGCAAATACAGAAAGGTTTTAAACAGGCACTTCATTCATTGTATGTTGTATTGTGATGTGGTTAATATGTGTTTATTAGCGGCCCCTGGTCTGTTGTCATTTTGCTGGAGTGTCCCTAATCGTGTATTTATGACCGCAGGGTAACAGGATATCAAATGTAATCTAGTGTATCGAGGTACAGTATTGTACAGTGTGCATATAATTTAATAACAGGAACTTGTTTATTTATTTGATGACTTAGACTCCAGAGAAGCAAAAAGAAAAGGAGCTGTGGGATGAGGTAGTAGTTTGTATAGTTTTAGGATCACACCAGATCTGGGAGATAACTATACAGCCTACTGTCTTTCTCACGGCAACCTAAACCATCACCGACTTGTCGGAGAGCGCCGGCCCATCCACATCTTGTGTTCAGTTGCCACGGTGACTAAAGCCTCTGTTGCCATTGGTGACCAACAGTGCTCCAAAATTACACCGTGAACGTTGGATTCCTTTCACTGGTTATATTGCTGTTTGCTGTCATCCTGGTGTGTCCCATGTTTTAGACAGATCAGACACCGGTCAGAAGATGACGTCTGTCTCGTGAATTTGGCATCATCGCTCAGTTGTAAAATTAAGATTCAGACTTACAGCAAGATGGAATGAGTCGACGTCTGCCCTCCTGCTTCTGCAACCAACCCACAGGAAATGTTTTCACAGTGTGTCGGGGCTCTTGTGTCTGTGGCTGTGCTGTGGTGAGGTAGTAAGTTGTGTTGTTGTGGGGTGTGGGATATTGCTGCCCCTATTTTGGAGATACAACTATACAACTTACTGCCTTCCACAATGTGGCAGCATATTGCACTGTGTCCCAGCTTCTGCAGGGTGTGCAGACATGTACATCCTTTCCCTCTGTGGAAAGTGTTTAATATGTTTTTAAACTACAGCTGAAATTATTTTTGATATTTACAGATTACCTGTTTGTTATGTTGTAAAGGAACAAAATGACAGGCTCAGGCTTCTCCAATGTGTGTATGTGCCGCTCTGTCCTCTGTGATAGTAAACTAAATTACAGCTGTGACTAACCACATTAATACGCCGATTATTTTCATGACTATGTCGGTTTATGAAACCAATAATCCAAAACCTAAAACATTCAGTTTACGGTGATTATAAAACGGAGAAAAGCAGCAAATCTTCACATCGGGGAAACAACAATATGCAACTAGAGAAATTTTGTCATTGTCCTTAAAAATGTTGCAAACAGATTTCTGTCATGCCACTAATATATGCAGCTTTAAAAAAATATTTTGTGTGGCTGTACTTTTCATTTCCCTCCTTTACTCACCTTGGAAGTAGCTGAAATGCAGTTTTCTGTCACTGTTTCACTGAAATATCAGAAGACCAGATATCTTTAGATGCTGTATTTTTGCATTTCCTGTAAAATAAATGGTCTCTCTAATAACAGTAAATGTGTATGTGCTTTTCTATATGTCATAGTGAGACTTTATTTTGGGATTTGTAGCCTGAGCCAAATGAAAAACCTCTGAGTGCAATGATGGAGCAGGTTGGGTAAAATATATACAGAATATAAAACCAGCAGTTGTTAAATCCTTGTGAAGTGGAGTCTGCTGAAGCATCAGTTGGTTGCCTGAGCTGACCTTGGAGCTGCAGGGCTGCTGTGATTGGATAACAGTCATATTTATTCTGTAAATCAGTCTGTACCCGGAGGGGGCGTTGCCTGAGACGCTCACTGATTGGTCAAATCAGACAAGTGGGCGGGGCATGCATTATTTCCTTCCTTGCATCACCCACGCTTTGACCTGAGAGGAGTAGAGATGAAACAGGTCATTCCCCTCTAAAGAGAAATGTAACTCTACATGCAGTCCAGTTTCTTTTCTCTTGTTGTCTTGATCGCAGCCACTATGTACCAAAAATACCAACACAAATTCTTTCTCTATGAAAACTTACTTGGCAATAAATCTAATTCTGAGGATATCCAGATCAGGAGTTAATAGGTAAAACTGCACATTATTTTAAACAGTCAAACACAATAGGCTACAGGAAGTGTGACTTTTATAGACAGGAAGGCTTTAGATTATATCTTGATTTACTGAAGCTGAGAGAAGAGACTAGAGACGTCTAATTGAGAGGATATAATAGTTCCGTGCTCTTGGTTCTTTAATATTAATTATTATTATTGTGTTTAATTTAAATCACTTTATTTTATTATATATATATATATTATTGTTATTTTACTATATTTTTAAGTTAGGTTTTTAATTATCTTTTTATTGTTAATCTATTTGTATTTTATTCTATACAATTTGAATTAATGCTTATTCTGTTTTATTTTTTGATTAAATCATTCAGTTTTTTTATATATTTATTTTATTGTTTTTTTTGCTATTGCTATTATATTTTACACTTTTATTAAATTAGATTTTAAATTGTATTTTTGCATTATTTTATTTGTATTTCATTCCATATAGGTTAATTACATTTTTATGGTATTTCATTTTTATTGTTATGCTATTTGTATTTTATTTTATTCTACATAATTACATTTTATATTATATTTGTATTGCGATTTTATTTGTATTTTATTTTGTTCTATGTATTTTAATTACAATTTTATTTGTATTGTGATTTTATTTATATTTTACTTTATTCTGCGTAATTTAATTACATTTTTACTCTGTTTTATTTGTATTGTTATCTTATTTGTATTTGATTTTATTCTATGTAAAGTAATTACATTTTAATTCTATTTAAAGATAAGATTATCTTTTCCTGCAGCAAGGAAATTAGCAGCAATACAGCAGCAAAGGGGAAAGTACAAACAAGGACACATCAGAAAAAAAAACAAACCTTAAAGCAAAGTTATAAACATAGAGCAACTAAAATAAGTAAATGTTTATAAAAACAAAAAAGAAGAACAATATGATAAGCTAACAGTAAAAATCACAGGATTTTAAAATAGGTCGAGACAAAAAAAACAGGGCAATGTAATAAACAGTAAAAAGGCTAAATATAAATTAATAGGCTGATGAACATTATAAATGTATTGTTATTTTATTTGTATTTTATTACATTTAATTTTAATTATTTTCCCTGTAATTTATGTTTATTTTATTTTTATTTTGTTTTTATTATTATTTTTTTTATTTTTAAGTCCTGCTCCACTCACTCCTCACCACTAGGTGGCGGTAAAGCTCTCGTGGTTTACCGACCGTTAAAAAATAAAACTCAAGAAGAAGAAGACATCCTCTGTGTGTCAAACACACTAAAAACCAACATGGCGAACATTCGGTGTGTCAAGGTGAGGAAAGAAACGGATAAATCTCTGCACGCTGCACTCTGCATCACTCACATGAATTAATCTGAGAGAATATGACGCGTTAGACTTTAAATACTCGTGTCACGTGATTTATGTGCGTGTTTTCTCTTCCGGTTAGTTTGTTTTCCTCTTGCTAAAGTTTGATCGTGTAGCTTAACGTGTTGGGATCAGTGAGTCCACAGCAGCGCCCTCAGCAGTGTGTCTGCTAACCTTTGCTTAAGTCTTTGGTCTCACGGTTACAGGGACATTTGAGACAATGACATTTGAGACAGCTTACATTTTTAAAGGCTTTTGTTCTCCTGAAGCTCCAAAATAATGGACTCTGTCACTTACATTTTGTTCTTTACAGCCTTTCAGATTCAAGTTACTTCTACTTTACGTGAACGTTTCTTCTGTTACCCAACGGGACATGAAGGAGTTTTTAAAATGAGCACAACCATAAACATCTACAGCACTAAAATGACAACATACACATTAATTTAGCATTAATATTCAGTATTGTGCAAGTTACCCTCAAAATGTAACACATCACATAATACTAGTTACCTTCATTTGAAAGTAATGGGTTACTGATTACACTACTTTTGCATTACTGTCACCAAGAATAAGTAATAGGAGAAGAGCTAATGTGGCTCATGTTGTTTCACAGCAGGTAATCAAAGCACAGAAGCTCCAGTTTATTTTTATTTATTATTATTAGTAACACAGCTCTCTGAAATAACAATGAATACTTACTGTGGTCATATTTAAAGATATTGATCATTGTGCAAAATATTGTCGACCAGCAGCTTCGGTACAAAAAAATCTGTATCAGACTTAAAATAGTATTTGTGGAACCCTGCTGCAGAGGCACTGACCAAACTTGATTATTAAATGGTTTGTAAGGCAGGGGATGACCTTAACTCTTCAGTGCGTCTTCCAGAGCCCAGTTATCATATGGTGTCCCTCAGGGTTCCATACTTGGTCCGTTACTGTTCCTTATATACATAAATAATTTGCCGACTGTGTCTTCCACTATTCTTCCAATACTTTTTGCTGATGATACCAATTTGATTCTTACTCACAATCATTTTGACTCACTAATCAGTGAAGCCAATTCCGGTATAATAAAAATTTCTGAATGGTTCCAGATAAATAAGCTATTATTGAATATTAAAAAATCTAATTATATGATTTTTACAGGTAAAAATAAAAAGTATTGTAAATCTAGTGCCAAGATTTCATTTGGGGGGAATGAAATAATTCAGGTTTCATCCACTAAATTTTTAGGAGTTTTAATTGATGATAGGTTGACTTGGAATGAGCATATCAAATTTGTCAATAACAAAGTAATGAAGTCTCTTGGTATCATCAGGAAAATGAGTGGCTTGATCTCTCAGAATGCCCTTTACATACTTTATTATAGTTTAATTTATCCATACCTAGTAATTGTAATATTGTTTGGGCAAGCACATATCCTACTAACTTACAAAAATATTCATTACACAAAAGAAATTTGTCAGATTAGCCACCTCTTCTAATTACTTGTCTCCACCTGCCCCTCTGTTTAAGAAACTTAACATATTATTGATTTAACATTAACACATTTCAATCCTGCATATTCATTTATAGATATATATATATGTTTTCAACCTCTCCGGCACTTAATGCTATTGTTTTGTCTCTGTTTTTTTATAGTTGTTGTTGTGTTTTTATTGTGCAAATAAATAAACTGGAAAGTGGAAAGTTATGAAAAAGATGCACATGTAATGAAAGTGAGTAGTGGACTGACTGAACTTGGTAAAACTGAGACATGCTGTTGCACATATTTTTCTGAGGATATTGCGGGATGTTCGTCATTTGTTTTGTAAATAGATAATCATTTTCAGAACCTTCTTCTTTACACCAAAAAAAGGATAAGAAAAATATTTGAAGGGGTTGTTATTAATAGGTTAGTATGCAGTGGTTTTACTGCTCTGGCCTCTGAGCTAAAAATTGATATGCAGTACGTGACTTAATAAAAAGTCACTCACCATCGACCGAAATCTTCTTTCATCCCCCATGTTTCTGCGTATATGACGTCAAAGTGTGTGTTGCAAAATTTTTGCCAACTTTCTGAGCAGTTATTGCGACTTGAGGGGGCGTTGATGAGAATTTTCTCAGTTGAAAAGTTATTTTTCCGATTATTCTGACACCACGTGAATGCGCTGTCATTTCAGTTCTACTAAAAATGATCACGTGTAAGAATATTCTCCTGCTCCTGAATGAAGTGACGTCTCTGCAGTGCAGTTTAAATTAATCAGAGCAGTTCTGATCTCTTCTTTCACCCCTCTTTATCGGTCACGTGATTTGTCCCTGTCTTTTTCTCACTTTTAATTTTCCCGTGTTTCATATATCCTGCACCGCCTTCCTCCCTCCCTGTCCATGTCCATGTGTTGAGCAGGGTATGGTCGGCCTGGTGACGGGTGGCGCGTCCGGTTTGGGCCGAGCCACTGTGGAGCGTCTGGTCCAGAACGGAGCGTCCGCTGTGATCCTGGACCTGCCCTCTTCTGATGGAGCAGCGCTTGCAGCCAGTCTGGGGGACCGCTGTGCCTTCGCTCCTGCAGACGTGAGTCCAAAAACTATCAAGACGCAATCACTCACACAAAATCGACATGCATGTACACAGCCGTTCAAAAATTAAGAAAGGAGAAATGTACTATTAATGTTATTTCCCTAAAACCAAGGAAAATATAAAGCCCCGTTTCCACCGAGTAGTACGGTACAGTTAGGTACACTTTTTTTCCGTTTCCACAGTGAAAAGTTGTGGATGGTACCAATGGAACCGTTCTGTACCGTCCCCATGTTTGGTCCCCCCTCTGTTGGGGTACCTAGCACACAGATCTGGTCCTAAAAGGTGGAGCTGTGAACACTGCAGTCTGATTGGTCAGTAGAGGACGGTCACTCTGCTCAGGGCTGAGTTGTGTCTGGTTTTGAGGCTCATGTAACCACTGTTCATACTGTGGAGAGTTTTATTAGTAAACTGTAACTATAAAATGAAAGGATGTTTTGCTGCCTCTCACAGCAGCTGGAGTCCGACTTCCTCACTGTGAGTGATAACATCCCCGCCCACATTTAAGAGTACTATTTTTGGTGGAAACACTAGGGTCTAGGTACCATGTCTGAAGGGTTACTTTTGGTTCCAAAGGTACTGTACTGAAAGTGTTTGGTGGAAGTGGGGCTTAAAAGAAGGAACGGTCATGACGTCAGTGACTGCGTTCGAGGAGCCAGACGTTGGTGTCAGTGTCAGGCACTGCAGATCACACTATAACCCATCATATCTTTGTTGTTTCTGCTGTGACTGAAAAATCCTTCCACCACATTAGAAAACACACATTATGTGAAGCTTATTGAAGTTTTTTTTTAGGGTGATATTTCTGAGAGTGTGGATGACACACCAACAGTTTCTTCACTCTTTTCTTGTGGTGTGTTATTGACACCTTCAACCCAGACTGTCGACGTGTCCTCTCTTGTTTGAAATTGTTTCCTGGTTTCTCCGGTAGAGGTCGTGGTCTTGTTCCTGTAAGCATAGAAGCACTGCACATGTAATCATGTTAAAGTTCATTGTATCATGTATCAGATGTTGTTTCCTTACACAATGCTTGATTTGAACTCTGCCTGTTACAATTTAACACCTGTGGGTTTTTAAAGCCCCTCTCTATAAATCTGCCATGTTATTATTTCAGTTCCAGGTTAGTTTGGCAAGTCTGGTTTAATACCTCAGCAAACACTCCTCGAGCAGCTACAGTGCAAAACAAACTCCCCATTGTTTTTTTTTTTAAGAACTGAGTCAATAATCAGCATTTTTCCATTGTGTCAGGAGCGACTGCCGCTTGACTTATATCAGAGCTAAAACTGAGTTTCCTGTGACTGCTTCACATTAAAAGCCACCCTGTGTTTGACTTTGTTTAATCTGGAGCAGCAGCAGGAGGAATTGTTGTGTTAGCATTAGCAGTAGCTTAACCCAGCTCTGATACAGCAGCTGTAGGAGAGTGAACAGTAAACAGTGATACTGATATCAGTGAGGTGAAACTTCAAACATTAAACTTGGATCACTGTTCTCTGTGTGTAGTAAGATCATTTGAATCCAGTAGGGGAATGGCGGACTCCGCCACTAACAATTAAACCTACTATATAGAGAGATAACTACAGAATGTAATATATTTATTTCATTTAAAAAGTGCTTTTCATAGTACTCAAAGACACTTTATATTAGTTAGAACTGAACAAAAAAGAGAATACACTACACTAAAATAAACACAACTTTGATTACACATTAAAAGCTGTTGAAAAGATGAGCTTTGATGAGTGATTTGAGCCGAAAGAGGTCGGTACAGTCCCAAATGTGTTCAAGGAGAAAGTTCCATGGGGGAGGGGCGGCTATGGAGCTTTTGGATTTTCCATCGAAAGGAGGATTTATAGTTGTGCGGCAGACCCTACACCGTAGCTTACGCACGTGGCCTACGTGATTGTGAGCATGCTTGTGCAGTGGTGTGTCTGTGTCACTCTGCAGTTACACCTCCAAAATACTAGTCATTGGTGGGGTTAGATATAGCAGGGAGAGAGACCATGAAGAGCCTTAAAAATCATCAGTAAAATATTAAAATCTAAAACATACTGGGAGCTGGTGTAAAGAGGCTAAAACTGGATTGATGTGATAATTTCTCTTGGTTCTTAGTGGTACATGTGGACCCTTCTCAAGTTCAAGCTCAAGCTCCAAATTATTAATGTCAGACCTCCCTCTGGTTCCCTTCTTGCCAGAACTTGAACCAAAGAATTGGTATCTTCACTGGGTGCATTTACACATGTATGCTTGGTGACGTTTATCTTGTGGCCTTGTCATTTCTCAGGTGACATCGGAGGCAGACGTACAGTCAGCCGTGTCCCTGGCCAGAGAGAAGTTTGGGAGGCTGGACCTGGCAGTGAACTGTGCCGGCATCGCTGTCGCCGTTAAAACCTACAACTTTAAGAAGGACCTCCCTCACAGCCTGGAGGACTTCCAGCGTGTAATCAATGTAAGGTACACAAAAACAGATGCAAATAGCTTAAGCAGAAAAATAAATACCTGCTTCTGCTGTCAGACTCCTCCAGTGGTAACTAAATACATTTACTCTAGTACTGTACCCAAGTATAAAATCAACATACTTATACTTTACTTGGAGATTTGAATTTTATTTAACGTTATACTTCAACTCCACTACATTTCAGAGGTAAATATGGTACTTTTTACTTCACTACATTTGTCTGACAGCTTTAGTAAGTTTTCAGATGACAGTTGAAACCCATATTTCTCCTGATGGCTGTTGCATTGCTCTGTGTGTGTGTGTGTGTGTGTGTGTGTGTGTGTGTGTGTGTGTGTGTGTGTGTTAAAAACTGAGTAGCAGGTGACACACCAGTGTATGAATGTGTGTGTGAATGGGTGAATGTGACTTGCAGTGTAAAAAGCTCTTTTAAGTGGTCAGAGGACTAGAAAGGCGCTATGCAACTGCAGGTCCATTTTTACTATTTACCACTTGCTCCAGTGGTGCTGAAGCGCCTTTATCCCAGTGGAAAAGAACTCTTCAGGTTGGGACTAGGGATGTGCACAATTAGATGTCTTAACAATTAAACGTCCGCCCCCTCGCTAGTCTGCACCAGAAATATTAGTAGGTTAAACCAACTAGTGTTTTATTCATGTACGAGGCTGCTTAACTGTCATGCAGCCACCCACCACTAGTGGGTGCTACAGAGCCGTCAGACAGCAGTCCCCCTCCCCGCAGTAATGCTTGAGTAGACTGGAGTTTTAAAACAGCACACTGGGAAATACGATTTAATTAAAATTAATATTTAATTTTATTTTAGATGTTTAGATGTTAATTTAGTGGTTAACTTTTGACTGAGTTGCCGTCATGTTCACATTCATACCGCACGGCACAAAGCGTCTCGTACTTCAGCGGCATTTAAAATCCGATGTGGTTGAAGATTGTGATTAAAGGCCTCAGTAAATGCACACAGTATTTTTTGGGACAATGTTTCAAATACTTAGCAATAAATTGGGCTAAATTTTGACTGTTTTCTGAGTGTTTTTCGTTTTTTAGACAAGTCGACTAGACTTAATTTAAGTTTTTGTTTAGTTGACAGGGAAATTAGTCGCCAGGAACATCCCTAGTCAGGACCCTAAGAACTCCTCCCCGGCTTCCATGACGTCATCGTCGTTGGCAAAATGTTTGCCCGCTCAAGCTTTTTTCAAGTTGGGGAACAGGTGGAAGTCCGAGGGGACCAGGTCTGGTGAAAAAGACGGGCGAGGAAGAAGTTGGAACCCGCAGTCATGGATTGTCTGGTCAGCGTTCCTCGCCTCGTTTCTCTGATTTTCTCTCTCTGTGGTGTTGTAGTAGGTCAGAGAAATAGTCTCCAGTGATGGTGTGACCCCTCTCAAGAGAGGAGGGCAAAAAATAATAATAAATCACCGACTATCATCAAGGACCAAAAAGTTTGCGACTGTTTTTTATCACTTTTTTATTATAATTTCTATTTCAGATAACAATCTGTCCTCAATGCGTTTTGAGTGTATTTACACCTGTACTGTCACGTGGTCAAGAGCAATCTGATCACAAAAACACATGTTAATACAAGGTGTAAAGGGGGTATATGTGTCAGCTTTGTGATAGTCTGGCGACCTGTCCAGAGTGTACCCCGCCCCTCGCCCAGTGTCAGCTGCGACCCCTAACAGGATATGTGATTATGGAAAATGAATGAATGAGTTTTGAGTATTTTTATGTGTGTTTTCTGCAGGTGAACATTGCAGGAACCTTTAATGTGATTCGCCTTGCTGTGGGTGAGATGGGGAAGAACGAGCCTGATGCAGATGGACACAGAGGCTGCGTCATTAACACAGCCAGTGTGGCCGCCTTCGACGGACAGGTCATTAAAAACACACACACGCGCACACACACTCACACGCACACACACACACACACACACACACCTTCTACTGTCCCCTTCTCATGAACGCAATGGCTCAAGAGAATTTCCTGAAATTTGGCACAAACGTCCACCTTGACGCAAACATGGACTGTGTAGATTTTGGTGGTCAAAGGTCAAGGTCACTGTGATTTTATCAAAGACATTTTGGGCCATTAGTCAAAAATTCATGTGCCGATTATGACAACATATCACTCAACTGTCTAACAGGATATAATGATGAAGGGATGACATTTTATATCCAAAAGGTCAAGTTCACAGTGACATCATAGTGTTCAAAAACACTTTCCTGGCCATAATTTAACACCCTAACTCAGGAACAGAAGGGGAGACATTGAGCCTCTTTGTGGTCATTTTGTGCCTTTTGTTGTTTTTAATCTCTCTGTTGTCGTTTTGTCACTCTTTGAGTTAGGGGCTGGGCGATATAATGATATATTTTAAAGCAAGATATACATTTAGACAACACTGTTTCTATCGATATATGGTCAAGTTGTACCACATAACGCATACCAGTGTTCATCTCTTCTCTGTCACACTCTCTGCACAGCTCCGCCCCCTCACTCACTCACAATTTCTCCATCAACACTCAGAGACACAGAGCTGCTCCTCTGTTTAATCTGTCTGTTCATTAGTCTACAGTGAGACATCGGTCTGTATGCTGCACGAGCTGCGCTAAGTCTGTGAGATGAATGAAGTTACCGCAGTGACACACGTACAATACTGTGGGCCTTTTCCTCTGTAACTTTTAGCCACGTCCAGTCAAGCCGCGCTGCGCCGATTTGTGTTTCAGTTATCAGTTTAGACGCACCGTGTTGTGCCAGAGGTGGACCTTCTCTGTAGTAGGTCCAAAAGCCGCACCGCCCACCCTCAAGTGGGTGGCTGTGATGTCTCGTCGACCACAGCCAGCCAACCCCGACGACCCTGTTTCTCCTCGTCAAACAAGCCATGTGTGATGTGAGACTCTCCTCAGCTCTGTCTGCAGGAGACCAGAGATAAATTCGTTTTTAAAAGTCTCTGTGTGTTCAGCTCTCAGTATGTATGTAACTTCTAACTGAATCTCTATGGTTTGGAGTTTAGTTTCTTTCCTGCGTCCTGTTTTCACTTCAGATATCGGCTTTATTTTACTGTTAATGTTCGCTATCAGCCGTGTTAGAAGTTGTGTTAAGTTGCTGCTGGAAAACTCAACATTTCCTTATTTTGCTGCTTCACAATAAAAGTATTTACATCACAAAATAACGGGGGACTTTTACTGTGAAGAATCTGCAGATAATTAAAGGTGCAAAGCAGAGCTGCAGACAACAGGCTCTTACTGCACCTCTGCAAACAGCTCACCTCCAACAGGTAAACTTCTTTTACCTGCCCTGCTGTAGAAAAACACATGCACCAAAAATAACAGGGGACTTTAGCTGTGGATCAGCTTGTAACTGAAAATGTGACCCATTTCGTAGAAAATACAGAGATGTATATCGTGTGGCGCCATTCAGCCTGAAAATATGGTTGAAAATGTCTGTGAAGTCATTCAGGTTTCAGAATTTGTAGCTTCTTTTGAAGCAACATCCATATTTGAAGCATTATCTCCTGTGTTCTCTTCTGATCCTCTGGTCAAGCTTGTTAATTTGCTGGTGTTGAGCTTCAGGTGATTGTCATTGCACCATGTGACGAATCTCTATCCGTCCTCTGTACTCTGTAAAACAGTCTCTAAGTCAAGACAGTATGTTTGTCACTGGGAATTATTCACTAGAATCACATCTTCCACTTTGCCATAAAAACAAACTTAAGACCTTTCATTAAATTACTTCAGAGTCTGGACAGAGACTTGGTGAAGGCACACAACCGTGAGGTGGTAACTCTGCTTTTTGCCCTCCGTTTTCTCTGCAGGTCGGCCAAGCAGCATATTCAGCTTCTAAAGGTGGTATTGTTGGAATGACACTCCCCATCGCACGAGATCTGGCACCCATGGGCATCAGAGTCATCACCATAGCGCCTGGTGAGTGTATACAGTGTAAACTGTCTCAAAATGATCCTACACTTTGGATTACTGGTCGACTAACGTTTGGTTGACTATCAGGGGGCAGCTCTACTTTCCAGATTAATTTTACATAAAAAACGTTAAGATAAAACCAGTAATTTCCATCCTTGCTGGCCCGTGTTGCCTCACTGTTTTTTAAAATAACTGTTTTAAGGTACAGTGGTGCTCAAAGTGCCCAAAAATTACATTTGAAAAACTCCACAGCAATGTCTCTCTGTCGGGGATAAGGTTGGCGGGTGTAGTTTGGTAGAAAGAAAGAGTTCCTGCATGAAACTGCTCACAACAAGGTCTGTGGATTATCTTGAGTAACCAGGTCATGATTTCTGGAAAGAGACAGTGCCATCTAGTTCCATTATATTGGAGAGAAGGCAGACATCTCTACAGCTGATATCTGCAACTCACACCAAAAACAATATAGACTTATAAACAGCGCTACAGGGAAGAGGAAAAAGTTACGTTTTTGATTTAAAGGTGAGCTGTCCCTTTCAAGGCCTTAAGATGTCAAATCATCCGATATTTCAACAAGATTAGAAAAAGAGTCAAATAAATGAATATGAATTTATGTTGTTGGAAACTCGCCTTTGCTCTCACATTAATCATCACATGGCTCTTCAGATTTAACTCATGACCCTTTGGAGGGCTGAATGAAAGGGGTAGGGTTCACCCTGGACAGGTCACCAGACTATCACAGGGCTGACACATAGAGACAGACAACCATTCACACTCACATTCACACCTACGGACAATTTAGAGTCACCGGTTAACCTGCATGTCTTTGGACTGTGGGAGGAAGCTGGAGCACCTGGAGGAAACCCACGCTGACACGGGGAGAACATGCAAACTCCTCACAGAGGGTCTCCCCCACCCCTGGGTTTGAACTTGGAACCCTCTTGCTGTGGGCTTTTACTTGTAATGGAGTATTTAGACATTGCTTTCGTGGTACTTTTACTTGAGTCAACTCAAGATTTAAAAGCTGATTGAAAAGTAACATTTCCTTTGCGTCTAAATCTTTCTCCCTCCAGGTCTGTTCTCCACTCCCCTCCTGGCTGGTCTTCCAGAAAAGGTGCGCTCCTTTCTCGCCCGCCAAGTGCCCTTCCCTTCACGCCTGGGAGACCCAGCAGAGTTTGCCCACCTGGTGACATCACTGGCTGAGAACCCCATGATCAACGGAGAGGTCATCAGACTGGACGGAGCCATTCGCATGCAGCCCTGAGACAGATGGTGTGTGTCTGAGTGGACATGTTAACTAAGCTCATTGATCCACACCTTCATCATTTTTATGTCTGAGTGTTCGTGTGTGTGTGTGTGTGTGTGTGTGTGTGTGTCTGCCTGGTGAAATTATGTCATACAAAGCTGCACACACTGAAAATATAAACTGTGATGGATTACAAACACCATTTTATTAACTTTGTGTGAGAATGTGAGAGAAAGTGTGTAAAAATATCTGTATATTTCAGTGCATTGCAGTTCTGTATGCACTTCACTTTGGTTGTTTTGTAAATGAATCCAGATTGTAATAAACCTCAGATTGGTTTGTCTGGTCCAGGAAGGTTTTTTTTTTCTTAACTCCCTAAAGTGTAGAATTTTTATTCCGCTACAGCGTCTTTCAGATCATCGTCTCCACCACCAGGGGTCTCATTTATACAACATTATGTGGGATCCATACTAAAAATGTACATACGGACAAAAGCCAAAAATGGCAACAGTTTTTACAAGTGTGTTTTTATAGATCACAATTCTCTTTCAGGCCTCGATTTGTGCATGCGCAATGTTTATAAATGAGACCCCTGGTCTACACAGATTGTGCGCTTTTTTAAAAAAAATAAATAAATACTGTATCACATTACAAGCAAAAAAAATCTGCATATTTTGCAGATTTCTATTCTGGATCACTGCTAAAAACCTAAAAAAAATCTGTTTGGGTCTGCTAATCACACAAGATTGATTTTAATAAACTGAAGAGTTTCCTTCAACCCATCAAATCTCAAAGTTTCAGCCATGGCAGCAAAAGGAAAAATCTTTAATACCTTTAATAATGACTAAATTCTAACTGTTAGATTTGATTGTCCACAACGTTTGTTTGTCAACCAAGTTTTCGGCGCATGTTCTGCATGTTTTCGTCAAAAGTCCAGGTAGTTGTTTGACCAAGAAGCACAAAGCAGCAATAGGGTAACGGGATGCACAGTCTCATTTTATAACTCACTGGATGATGATAAAGAGGAGGAAAATGTAACGGAGGTCGGAGGATATGGACCACACAGAGAGGGAGCACAGTAAGGAAAGCAAATAAGTCTTTCTGTTTTGTCCCGCGTATTTTGGCAACAAATAGAACAATAACATTTTTATTAGATGAGGTTCAGTGTGTCAGATTTAGGTGGTTTCAGTGGTACATACACCGATCAGCCAAAGCATCATAACCACTGACAGCTGAAGTGAACAACATTGATCATCTTGTTACAATGCAATGTGGTCTCCACCCGGCACGGTCCACCCACCTAAACACCAGTGCAGATGGGGTACCCCTCCTCATGGCAACAGCACTCCCCAGTAGGACGGGACGCTCTAAAACTAAAGTGAGCGCGCCTGCAAGGAGGCAGGGATCATTTCATTGGTCAACAATAAACCTGGTGTTCTGTTGGTTGGGGGATTTTGACAGGGTTGTTACACAGAAAAATCCAAGTGCAAGGCAGAAATCTGAGAGCAGAAATTCCAGGAGTGCACAGAAGCAGCTTGAGCGCGAGGAGAAGAGCTGAAGCTGGAGCAGGAAATCTGTGCAAACAACATTGCATATGAGCGCAAGCACACAGTTTGAGCAGAAACAATAGATCTAAGCACAAGCAGAGGCTATTTGAGTGCGAGGGCAGGGTTTTGAGGGACAATATTACAAAATCAAGGTGAAATCAATAAATAATACTCTCACACTGATAGACCACTCTCTTGAATAAAGATAGAAAAAAAAAGCTCCAATTTAAATCAGGTCAAATATGCCAGCTTGAAAAGGTGTGTTTTCAGACGGGATTTGAAAATGGAAAGGGAGTCAATATTGCAAATGTCTTTGAGAGAGTTCAGAACAGCTGAAGGCTCCAGAACCCATGGTGGTCAAGTGGGCAGAAGGTGATGTGAGCTGGACTGCAGAAGACAATCTAAGAGTACGGGAGGGTGTGAAGATATGAAGGAGTTCACACAGGTAGGAAGGGGCGTGGTTATGAAGGGCCTTAAGGGTGAGAAGCAGAATCTTGAAATTGAGACCGAGTAACATTATTGTTACCACTGGTATCTGGAGCCAGTGTTTGGTTTGTCTGTTCTGGGCTACTGTAGAAACATGGTGGTGCAACATGGCAGACTCCGTAGCCGAGGACCTGCTCCCCATGTAGATATAAGCAGCTCATTCCAAGGTCACCAAAACACGATTCTTATTTTCAGGTGATTATACACTGAAGACGATATTATATTCTATTTCTGCCAATATATTTCCTTAATGCTACACGCTGGACCCTTAAAAACACATACCAAAATACGGACTTGGTTCACTGAGGCCTTTAATTGTCATTGAGTACACGTGATGAGGCAACGAAATGCAGTAAAGCATCAAATCAGAGATGCAAACAAGCAGTAAAGTGGGGCTGCTGATGTAGAAACTGTGTCATACGCCAAAATACAACAGCATAAGAGTAAAGAGTACAATATTTCCCTCTAAAATGTAACAGTAGTGGAGTGGAAGCAGTCGGCGCCATCCTCCTCGTTAACCTGTCATTCCTCTCCATCTGCTTCTTTTTGTTCAACTCATCCAGAAACTGTGTCCCGTCTTTTCTGGTACTGTCAGTGCTCTGGAAAATTATGGAAAGGTGTTTCCAGATTTATTGTTGACATTGCATATAGAGCATTATTTCATGAGTATGTTATATTTGGATTCTTTTACTGTAACTTGAGGAACAGGCATGTATCATAAATCTGATTATGCTTGCCAAACTTTATATACATAAGTGCTAATTTACAAAACCATAAGCCCCTCTTTACTGGGTTTTACAAAGATTATGAAAATCACATAAACACTAATAAATCATGTATCAATAGAAAGGCCATAAAAATTGTTCTGGCATGTAAAATATGTAGCTGAAATTGGATCTAAGCTGTTGTAAAGGAACTTTTAACTTTGGACAGGATAAAAAAAGACACTTGTTTTCCATCTTTTTTATTATTATTATTTATTCAACCTAAACCCCCTGGCTTGTTGTTTGCACTATGGCTATTGTTACTGACTAAATGAGTGATTTGTGCGATTTGTTCAAAGAAATTCATGGAGAAAAAAACAAATCCCTCTCCATCAGTGTCCGGAGCCAAACACTGTTGAAAAGAGAGGACTCTTACTGGCTTTCTAACGGTGTTGGTGCTGTTTGTGTATTCCAAATATTATGCATCTCTTAGCAGTAGAAACAGGGAGACACAGACAGACATGGCTGCCCAGAGGGGAGCGTCTTTGTGGTCACTGCTCGACAGGTGAAGTAGAAACAGAAATGCACCTCCTCCTCCACTGTGAAAAGTTCTCCCCAGTCAGAGATTTCCATTTTGGAGAAATAACCAAACATTTCCTGACATTAACCCCGCTATAGAAACTGGCAATTCTCCTGGGTGAAGGGACAGCAGCTCCTCTGGCAGCGACATATGTATCTGCCTACTCCGGGCTGAGGGACTAGCTACTAATATGTAGTTACTTGCAGTGCCATAGAATATAACATTTATTCAAGGTCTCTGGTTAATTGTATAAAATAAATAATTAAAAATGCAGTGTACTATATTATATTGAACAGTAATCAAAAATGGACTGCAGCAGTATAATATGGAACCTATAAGCAACACCTGTAAATGTATATATAATGTATGAATGTTTGTAACATGTAAAATATATTACTTTTTAATTTTACTTTATTTATTTACCTTTTCAATTTTTTTTATTTTGTTTTTATTTTTGTCTATTAATTATTTTTATTATTTTTTTTACTGAAATGCTTCGGCAATAACATTTCTTTGTTCATGCCAATAAAGCTATTTGAATTGAATTGATATAAAAAATACGTCACAGTACGTAATGACTTAAACGCGCCATGATTTTGAGAGTTGACAGTACGGTGGCCGCATAGATACCGTTGGCCTTCTGAACTGGGAGCGCGTGCTGTAAATCCAGGGCTGTCCCGGAGTAACAAATACACAGAAAAGCTCATGGACACTTTTCTCCTGAAGCCAACGAGGTAACAAAAACAAACGCACCCTGCGACACAACTAGGAAGGCGTTGGTAGAACTGCGGTCTGTTTGACTAGCTTAGTTAGCATACACAGCTAGCAGTGGACTTCACAAGACAATCCTCACAACTTTTTTAAATTTAGATAAAAAAAAAAAATAAACGTTTTGATTTGTTTGATCGGTAGAACCTCGCGGACCAAAGGAATAAAAATAATCATGGATGGACACATTAAATGGACTTAAGGACAGCATCAAAGGTAGGGAGTCACCTCTTCTCTCGCTTCTCTCTAGTTTACTTTTATTATTTATAACGTTACTGTGATGCTCATGGTTTCAATGAAATGAACTTAACGATTAAATTAAAGAGAATCTAACCGAGCTAACACCGTGTGGCATCTCCATATTGATAAAGCATTTAACATGATGATGCTAAACGGCTTTTTAGCTAGCAGTCAGGGGAGTTGGTTCAAAGTTAGCTCAGTGGAACCTGTGGGGTTTTAACACTCTGAAAGTCAAGTCTTTACTTATTTAAAATATGACAAAACACCCACTGCCCCAGACATTGCCTTTATATTATTGTTAAGATTTTAATTGATAATTTCAGGGAGACATAGAGGGAAAGAGAGTGGTGCTAAATAGCACCAAAGTGCCGTTAGCTTAGCTTAACATCATGCCTTATGTTAATATTAGTTATCATCAGTTTCATATTCTGAAAGGCAAGACTTTGTGTATGTTAAATCAAATCAAATAAAATCAAACAGAACTTCCACATGACCTAAAATTGAAATTTTGACAGATATCCAGGTTTATCCAGGGGTCCCACAACCCTGTTAAAAAACAATTAACTACCTGATGAGTTGGGGTGTGTATTGGCAAGAATCTAGGGATACGATACATATCACAATACAGATGTGACGATTCGATATATTGCGCTGCGCATTGGGGTTCTATTCCCCTGAAGGGAGTTGTTTTCCCAGTATTCACCGGCTCGTTATACATTATCCCACTTATTACATGGCTAATTATCAGTTAAATAAATAATTTGAGACAGAATATTGATTAATTATACGATTTTTATTGATTTATAAATTAAATCGGGAGGAGAGAGAAAAAAACTGGCAGCAACGGCTGAATCTGGCCACAATAGCTACAGGGAATCAAGAGAAAATGAAAAGCAGCGTCCCTAGCAACGCTGGGCTACATGGCAACGGTCATTACATAGTAATATCAGACCTCTGAATGCCGCGACTGACCAATGTTATGACACCGCAACTATGACACAGTCACATATGGAGTTTTTTTGTTG